CCATGATTAATTCGGTCCTTATAGGAATCCGAAGTAAACTGAATAAGCAACTCCGTTAAGCTTCGGGCAGCGATTTCCGCCCAGTCGCGGTAGAGAACAAGGTTATGGCCTATAATGTCATTGCATAAACAATGGCTGTCGCACTTCTAAAATGATCCTAACGAGGCGCGAAAAATATATGGTAACATTTCGGCCGATTTAAGTAGGGCACTACTCGAGACATAAATGGATGGTCGATGAACCAAAACTTGAGAAGACGATATTGGTCAATATGCAGTTTCCATCCTTTTTCTTCGCATTTCCTCGCACACTTGAACGTTTCGTATACATTCTCGCCATCGGTTCAGTCGCCAGGAGGGCGTGAAGACCTCGTAGAATATTGTTGGGTCGTTAGAGCTGACGATGATGGCGAAATATACTCCCCGAGGAGGTAGACACAGGCACATCAGTCGGACGTCGATGCCCAGCGACAGGCAGGGCAGTCGTCCCACAATGTAGTTCTGGATGTAACAGACGACGCTCGGGTCTCGTTGCTGATCCAGTTGAGCTTGATCGGGTGAAAGTGTTTCGGTGAGTGCAACGAAATCCACCTTGTTGCGCGCCATTTTTCCGAGCGTCCAGCGCCGTTCTTCGTCCCGGTCAGTTGCCTCTCGGAGTGTCTTAAATTAAACGAGCATTCTAAGTTGCCAGAGTGAGCGGAATCAAAACGCGCAGCATGATTTCGAAAAGGTTGGTGAAATGTATGTTTCTTAATTCGATTTCTTGATCTCTTGCACAGTTTTCCATTATATTTCAGTGCCTGTAACATGAAATTAAATACAATAATAATATTATTATTAGTATTATCTGATAACATTTCCAACATTTAGTCATAAGTTATCTCAGCTTCCCGTCGTGTTTTGTCAATTTATCATAAAGCGGAAATAAAGTGTCATAATTTTTCACCCAACATAGCCTCAATCCAATTAAAATTTATGCAAATATATAAAAGGCTTTCATCATAACATTTTGAATAACATTATTTTTTAAACGACAAACCGTCTCCACTGGCCGCTTTTATTGTCGATTTATTGATTAGCAAGAGAAGTATACTGTTCTCTCTTTTATCCTACATAGCCTTATTATCCAATACAATTCAACTCAAAGTTTTGTTTTGCCACCTACTAAATTGTCATTTTCCCGTTTTTTTCAATTTTGCATTCTGTTATTGAGAATACATTGCTTAGTATCAATTGTGCTGTCTGGTCCAACGATATTAATGGCTTTTAGAATCTGTTTCATCATACATAGCCTCATCTTTATGTCCTCGAAGTTTCGGCAGCTATCATCAGTACAAATTCGGACTAAAGTCTTGTTTTGCTTTTTCGACATAAAACCTCAGGCAAACCTTCGTCGAAATCTACAAGAAATTAAACTCCAGGCTTCTCATTTGAGACTCACTGTCAATATGAAATAATAGATCTAGGAGCGCTCGATAATTTTAACAATGCTATGTCTTACTATGAGTCAATTTATTTTATTCTTACTGCACTTCTTAAGGGGAAATTGTCAACACTTACGTCTCAATAATGTGAAAAGCTCATGTCTCTCACTGACCCGGTTGCTAGTGAGACCGAAGACTTGCACAACCGAAGTTTTATCTTTATTGTAAAAACCGTTCCTAAGAGGAGACAGCCAATCGAAGTCACTTTCCACTTTCTTTATTCATGTGGCTTCAACTTCAGAGACGCTAGAGCTAAACGACTTTCATCTAAGTGTAAAAATCCATTAATTCTTGTCAAACTATTCTCGTCAATAGAAGTGGGATTTATTTTCTATCATTTGAAGCGCTCTGCTTTGTATCTTAGGGTAAATAAACTTTTAACTAGTCGGAATAAAACTCCACTGCAACGAAGAGTTTCTGCCCCATTCACAAACGTAAAGCCATCTCATTATTCTATTCATCTGCTATTTGCCTGTAAAGCAGATTCTCCATCGGGCGTCAACTAACTCTCCTCCTATCAGCAGCGGCCCCACTTCTTCTAGCTATTTAACTGAGAAAATTATCACAGAGTCAGTTTAAACCAGTCACTTCAAAACGCCTCCAAGAAGCAAGGATTGCTCAAAATCGAGCTCCCAAATTTACTAGGACACTTGATCTTAACAGTAAAGATGAGCAAATCCTAAAGGCACGATCGATCTCCAGCTTTCAGAATAATTAACTAGTTAATAAAACCGGATCGAATCCATTCCGCTCCCGTGCCTGGCCACTCAGGTCTAACCTAGCGGTTAAGTCAAATAAGCGCGATGATAGTTCATGGAAATCTTTACCTGATCCTATCCCGAATACTCAACTTAACGTAAACACCTCACTTGTGAAGCCCACATACATACCAGCCTGCAAAATACAAGTTTGTAGAGTTGCTGATAATTTTTGCAATCCCACGGCTAGACTGATATCCTTAATAATAAAGCCTCCTCCTAATGCAAGCTGTTTCTCCAAACCATTTAGTCCGATATCCAGCATAAGTTGCCCATCATATAATGCCAAAAATTCACATAATCCCGTTCTTATGCCTCATCTTTTTCCAACCTCACAAAATAGCTTTCCTCTTTCAGGGTCGTCCACAAATGTGTTTCCACACGATGCTGCATATCTACTTCGTGGTAATTTCCCCACAAATTTCAGACCACAGCAACTTTCTTTTGCACCAATTGCTTCTTCTCGACAGCTTAATTATCCACGACCAACTCTCCTTTTTTAATAAGTAGCAACAAGCGGAACCTACATACTAGGAATACACTCAGTATTGTGACTCGCAACGCAAGATGAGTCGTGCAAAGGATGTCACAAATAAGAAGTGAGGCTGTTGATTTTGACCAAGATGTTTTGTGCATTACAGGATCTTGGTCTCACTCTCTAATTGAAGGCTAGGCTTTCAATATAGACAGTTTCAGTTTATACCGCCAAGATCGTTTCGAATGACGCAGCGCTTGTTGCCTTCTATATGTCAGGGCCTCACTAGCTCATTCACCTTATGACCTGAACATTTCTTTCTCTTATAATAATAATTTATTAAATGCCAGTTTACAGGCATTGTCAAGGGGAGCGATTAAACACAAATTCGACCAGCAGTGAAAAAACCTCCTGAGGTTAAGGAATAAAAATATAGTTGATGGTGGTTTTATGGTTTGGAGGGTTCAGGAGAAAAAAAACTGCTGGCGGTAGATTTTCGACCGTCAAGAAGGGGGGGGAGGGGGTGCACGGTATCGGAGATTATTGGGCGTCAATTCCTTTCATGAATTTGGAGATAGTCAAAGTAGAGGCATTGAGGAACAGCTGGTGAGACCGGCCATAGTGTTCAGAGACCATAAACGCCATCGCTACGGTAGAGTCGATCAGTGGATTCTGCACCCAAAATTTCTGGGAGCTTTTCTGAATGCAAAAATCGAGTAATATTTCTCTTAAATAAAGGATAATTTTGCAGAGTTTTCACACTCATGGGTAGTTAATTCCAAATAGCAATTGCATTTACAGAATAGAACCGACGATATTTAACAGTACGTGCCAGAGGAAGAAATAAAAAGACCTCACGGTGACTGTTACGTCGCGGGTGTATATGATGTCTTAAAGAGGCGAGTAGGTAAAATGTGTGATTATATAAGAGTTTAAATAGCAAAAATAGTCCCTTTTGTAATCTACGGAACCATAAAGGATCAAGGCCCGTAAGCCGACAACGTTCTTGGTAAAACAAATGTCGGTGTTCCGGGGTTAAAATTCTCTTGGTAAAAAGTGTTGAACGGATTCTATTTTCTTCCGTTCAGTAGCACGCATGAGGCTTAATGAAAACGAACAGTATTCCAGACCAGGTCCAACATGCATGTTGTGGAAATTTATCTTTCTCTTCGGCAATCCTTCTGAAAATTAGGGAAGCCTTAGTCGGATGTGCATATAATCCGCCTTTTTACTCCGGAAATGAAAGCCAACTCTGTGAACTCTGAAAAAAATTGAAGAGCCTTCTGGTGATGTCAAGATCATCTTAGGCGATTTTAATTTACCAGAAATTGACTGGCACACACATGCTATCCAAACTTGTTTCAGTTAGTCCACTTTTCAACAAGAAACGATAGTGTATTAGATGTAATTTTTACTGATGACACCTTCCCTCTCTCTATGGATTTCCATCATGACCTTTAGGCAAGTGATCCTGCATTAATTCATTGTCGTCTTCCAGTTACCATTTCCGCAAAGCCAATATCACAATGCAGCATTTTGACTTTGTTAATATTAACAAGAGATTAGTAAATAACTTTACGAGCACTCTTGATTGGCACAGTATGTTTTCAAATAATGATCTAACTTTTTCAAAAATTTATTACAATGCGCAACAGAAGGTCTTCTCGAGTCTCTGATAGGCTTTCTATCTTCCCGAAATTAAATTAAGACTTTGTCGAATGCTTGTTCTTCCCATTCTCGAGTATTGTTGTCCATTCTTTGGTTTAATGAACAAAGCTTGTCGTTCAAAAATTGAAAATGTTCAAAGACATTATGCTAGAAAGTTTTTAGGTGCGGAACATCCAGCTATTTCCCACTCAGACAGACGCCAGCATAATTACTCCTTCAGGAAACCCATTATAAAATGTCATATACAGGCCAGTTCTGTCCTCTTTTTATGCTTTCATGAGCGACAGTTTTTTTCTCCAAAAATTTTAATTTAGTCATATTCATTTCGTTTATTTGATAGGATTTTTTCACTGCTCGCTATTCATTCTTCGTAACAGACTACTTATTCAATATCTATGAACTAGGTATTGTACGGATTCTGTGTTCCTGTTTTATGTTCACGTAAAAATTTATTCTAACTTGCTACGACCGTACCCCCATGGGTCTTGAATAAAAAAATTATTATTACCGAGCTGTTGGATGAGGCGGGCGGAAGGAAGAAGAAGAATAAGAGGAGGAGGAGGAGGAGGATGGGCAAGAAAGAGAACACTGTCTCTGTTTTGGTGGTTTCGAACGCATGTGTAGCAGTCCAGAAGTCAAAGTCTGTGCTCAGATTTCGTAAGTTCAGCTTTGCTTAGGGCACATTATAGAGCTCCCCCTCGCGGGGAAAATCAGTGCTCCCTCTAAGCAAGACTGTCGTGTCGCACCAGAGGGATGTCGCTCTCCACTGCGGTTGACAAGGTTTTATGGGAGATCGACCACTGGCCTCAGTCGCCATCGTGGTTACATGTCAACCTCGCCGCAGGACTTGTCCATCGTGGGGAGAAGAGCAGAGTGGAGAGTAGAAAGCCGAGAGGAGGAAGATAGGGGGAGGGGAGAATGGTGGAGAATAAGGACAATATAAAAGGGGAAATAAAGGATGCAGAGCAGTTTGGAGGAGAAGAAGGCAGAGGAGTAGATTTACCGTGTGGGGCGATACGCACACGGATACCCTCACCTGGTTCAGCCCGCCGGTCGAGGTGGTAACCGGGGCATGGCAGCTAGGCAAAGCTTAGTTTCGACAAGCCCTATTTGAAGGTTGGGTGTTAGTTAATTGACGCTAGGGAAAGTCAACACCTGCACGCAAGTGGACGACCTACTGCGAACTTCCCCTGTACCCAGAACTGGACAGCCCTACACCCAACCCCTTCTAATCTGGACGAAAAAAGCTGCTTGGTTTTGTTGGTCATTGTACCTTAAACATCCATAGATTGTTTAAACTGTCATGTAACCATGAACCTGGGATGGTCCGAGACGAGTGAGGTGCTAGAGCGCAGTGCATGACCGCTGCTCAATAAGGGGTCAAGTACGAAAGTGGTTGCTGGGTTATCTCCTGAGGAAGTCATCAAGTGCAACATCTGCGACGGCCGAACGGTATAATTAACTTTGCTTACAGTATGAGATGTTAAGTAAACTTCACGAATTTTTATGCATAACGTTCTGGTAGGATTTTCCAACACAATCATTTCGGAAACCCAATTTTATCCTTCCCATTTGTCTCTGTTGGCTCTGGTAAAGTTCACTTGCTAATCACTGATAAGTTACATGATAGAAGACGCTAACTTATTCGTGGAATTTATGGTGAGAATAACTGTTTCCTCCCATCCATGAGACTTCTTTTAAAAGACTGAAACTCTGGCGGTTACAGTAAGCAGAACCGAAGGTTCGTCGTAGTCGTTTTTGGGACTTGCGGACTATAGCCATTTACTTATTTCTCAAAAGTTTAAACACTACGACTTTTATTTGCAAGAATTTTGATCAAGTCGCTTTACAGATTCATCCGAAACTTTGGTTTTAACCTTGATCATACTCTGCTTATATCTCATCCCGCATAATCCAATCCGGTTGTAATTTCAGGACATACGCTTCGGAATATAGACGCGCGCATCCCAATTCGACTATGTCTGAAGTGAATACAGATTTTAAAGCGGCATGCGACTTCTTTAAAGGTTTTCGCCTTTTTGTTAACATTTTCTTAAAGCCCAAGTCAATAAGGCCTTTGTCCTAACTTATGAGCAGAAAATCCTGATATCGGCCCTTTTTAATCAAGCCAAGCACGGACCATTTGCACCAGACAAGGCCCCAGATGTAGGGCTTTTTGACTTTGTTGGGAAGGAAAGACGGTATGTTATGTACCTCTGTTATAACCCTTCCAGTTTTAGATGTCCTTCCTTAGGTTGTCTTACCATATACCCCTTTTCTATGACCTTATATCTTTAGCTACTCGTGACATAGTTTGCCAGGGTGTATCGCAGTAATTTACTACTTCTCGCAGTCTCAAATAAGACATTTCTTGTGTTTGCGTTCTCAAAGAGATCTTAGGACCATGACAAGCGGAATTTTGTCTAGCAATTTCCATCAGTATTTCTGTATCCACCGCTATTTTTTCAGTAATTCATGACCTCTCCTGATCTACTTCTTAGTTGGTAGTTAGTTGAAATCTAGTGTGTTGCCTCGAATTTTAAGGGAAATCTATCCTTGAATTCAAGTCATACCCCTGTTTAACTCTCGGATTATATCGTTCACACTTTTACTGGGTCTGACATTAGGCATAATTGCTATTTAGATTGACAGTTATTTCCAGCTCGTTTCACTAATAAAAAAAAACCAGTTGATTTTGGTTGACTGTTCAGAAATAAAACTAAACCACAATAATGTGATGGTTGTATCATAAGGGCACCGAGGCTAAAATTGCTCATGTTACCCGTCTTCCTGAGAGTCGCTTCCAGGTATATAGACATCCCGGCATCATCCTGCTGGTTGCCGAATAAACCCATACTTCCCGCTTAGATGTGTCACGAACAATTTTACTAGACCTAATCCTAAACCTCCAAGAAATCCTGCAAGCATTTCCTCTGGGCACTTAGAACCGATGTCACCGTGCCTCACTTACACGTATGCATCCAGTTGTTGGCATCAGTTGTTACAGTACCGATTTCAGCACTTGGTCCTCCTAAAATGCAAAGCGAAGCTTTCTGTATCGAGTCAGACGATAGCCACCATTGCTACGGACCACTGCAATATCAGATTCGGGTGTGCAAGACGTCTTCAAGGCGGGGCGTCGGGAACTACCTTCGTGTAAATAATAAGGTTTTTTTGGCTGGTCTGCCCTGAGTCTAGGATACTCCCATGAGATGACAAAATTCCACACAAACTAGGATGCGTGCCCGTCCGAGTATGCTGGACTCTACTTTGAGAAATATGAATGCTCTCAACGTTCGTGATGAGGATTATTTTGACCATTTGGTCTGTCATGCTCGACTACGATTCTCACAATGTATCGTTGAGGAAATTTTGTCTCCAGAGGAAAGCAGCTCAAATAATCTTGCCCACTTTTCTATTTTTGCGAAAATCTATCTAGTCACCTACTATCTTTTTCCCTCGCTGACCCGAAATAAAATCAGCACAGTTTTTTGACGGCCGGCGTCGTTACGAAGTCTGAACCTCCGGAAACCAGTTTGAGAAGCTGATGGCGCCGCAACTGCTCGTCGTTGAAGCGACCTCGACTCCGGACATTTTATTCGCAGGAGTGCGCAATCCGCATCGCAGACCAAAACAAACTTTAAGGTCAAATTATACCATTACGCAAACGCGCCCCCGGATCCTCTATCTACAGAGATCCCTATATAATCTTGAAGATAGACCGGTCAAAATATCCGTCTATTTCATCCACCATCGATTATCATTTGATGACATCGTCACCGCGTGGCGTTCTGTGCCGACGGAATAAGATCGTCATCCGGTTTTCAAATCCTTATGGTTATCCCTCTTCTCTGGCTGTGTAGTTCGAGCACGCCGTAGTCCCCATGTATGCGTGTGACTGGCTTGATGTCTGCTATGGTCTGCAGTGTATGGACAAAACTAAAGTGTCAAAGGTCGTCTAGTCACAGAGAGCTGGCAGTTTGCCTGCCGAAAGCGTCGTGAACCATCGTCTTCTTAGAGAACGTATTGGTTAATTTCGCCTGACTCGTATTACGGTTGAGGAGACTTGAGTAACATCCACTTTGTTCAGTTCTCTTACATCCATTATGTTTTAGTCGCAAAGCAATGTAGGGACGACTGGCGACGGGTGTGCGTTACTTAGAACTTCGTCCACTCATACCACACACGCGCTGGCCATTTACTTCGCAGGAAACATGTACCAGTATCCCGGAATTCCCATCGACACCACTTGCGACATTGGTAACATCAGATAGGATTCGTAGCCCGACCTTCATTCTGCTTTATGACTGAGCCATCCAATTAGTTGTCAGATCTAAAGATGCTAACCTTAGCAACTCCTGATAGTTAAAGAGCGCTTCTGATTTCTTCGATCTCAATCTCGTCGCTCCCCCGTCATATGCAGTGGTTACTCCAGATTATGGCAACTGAAGATGAGCCGACGCATCATGAACTCTCCATCAGGCGCTTACAATCTATTTGCACCTGGACCACAACCTCCTAGGAAGCAGAGAGCACTTTCATCAGAATAATCCTGCATGAATAGGAGGCGGGGTCCTGCGTTCAATCATACTTTTACGATTTTTTACGAAGAGACTCCTTCTACCGTAAATGACTTCTTCTAATTCCCTTAGCCTTCAAAGGCCTTCATGAACAACGGTGGATAACTCCCATGTGGCAACTTAGTTGATGGGCGCCGCCGTTTTCGGTCTTAATTTATCCTTTTACATCGCCCTTCTTTGTTATTTAGTTGTAGGTAGTGTGATTCGCCTTGTCCAAAATTTACAACTTCCTCTAAATTCCGTGCGCATCACCAACTTTATGCTCGTTGATACTTTTTCAGAGCAAAATGGGCCTCACTGGGGAATATGTCGAAAGCCGAAGCGGAAGATACCTTTGTACAGACACTTATCACAATCTGTCCACGCTTCGCCGCACACTTAGAAGCCGTTTCCGCCGTCCCCGTTTTTGGGTAATTTTTCCGTTCTTGGAATCTTTGTTTTTACCTCTATGGTCCGAGATTGCAAGGACGGCCATTCAGTCTTAAATGTTTTGTGTAGAGGGGGCGGGGTAGGTTTATGCTGTTAAGCCTTTATTTGGCTTTTGCCTACTCAAATTTCCCCATTGACTTTGTTGATTCTGCACTGTTAGTTGTACTTCGTATGTTGCCGGACAAAAATTGCCAAGGAAGGCAGAAATAACTCTGACACGTCTCCTCAGTCACTTTTCGGAGTCGCTATGTTGCCCGTTTAGAATCTGACGGCATAGGAACCGGGTGATAATAATTGATTTAAGATACAATTGATTTTAACCATCAAGGAGAAAGTTTTAGGATACTTATCCTGTCTCTTTGCGGTTGAGGCAGTGTCTGTTTCATTTCTTATCTGGTTAAACCAAGGAACTGAAAACCTGTACTTGGATGTCTATTAGAGGCGCTTTATTAAGTCATGGGACTGACTATGATGGCTGGTCTGCTTAAACATAGAACCATCGCCGATAACTTTTTTTCAGTTCCACAAGTGTTTGTTACTCATGTTCGCCACCACCCAAACAGGCTCGTTCTGTATAATTTCATTCGTCTTTGCTTTAGTGTTGGCAACGGCGACCCTCCCGAGTCATCGCGTCTCCCACCCCCCACAGCCCATAGCCCGCCTTCTCCGGCCTGCAGGTCTGTTCTTGTTCTGAGATTCCTCCACCACGATACGTGCACATAGTTGTGTCGGTAGCGCTGGACTTGTAGCTGGAGAGAAATTGGCATATCTTAAGCTGCGTTCATCTTTGCCTATCGTTTAGGAGTCCGATAAATAAACACGCTATGGTCTGACTACATTTCAAATTGTGTCTGATCACTCATCTGGTAGCTGAGGTTCCTATGAGTAGGTCACAATCCATGGAAAGTGTTGACGGCTATACGATAAGACACTACGTCTCGTCTAGTATAACTTTGGGATCTTTAACTGGGGTGTTGAAGAGGTGGATTCGGGCGTTCGTAGTCGGGATCTACCGCTGCCTGACAAACCCCAGCTTAACTAGTTTTTTGGAAAACTGGTGTCGTATGGTCCGGGAATTCTGACTCAGCTTGCTGAGGTTGCTGGGCTGTAGCATTTTCACCCGACAACGGCAACACGAGCAACTGGCTCGGTCCAGTTATTCCGTGAAGACACGCCAGAACTTTCAGTGTCGTGCCACTTTGCCTGCACTTCATGCGGCCTCATCGTCAACTGCCGGCTAGTTCGGCGAAGCCGTGATTGTACCAACTACCGTGACAAATACGTCACCATCGCTCCCCCCCTCTGTCCTCTTGCCGGAGGTGTCTTTTGGTCGCATCACCAAAGTTTGAGCCCAGGGCCTGAGTCACCAGTGGGGAGAATGTGTTTCTTGAAGAAGGAGACACGATCGCCGGAACAAGAGCTTTATTAGCCTGGCGTTTCGGATTCCTACTCGAATCCATCATCAGAGACAAAAAAGCAGAAACGGGTGGTTGTTGCCCAAGGGGCTGCGGTATTTATAGGATGCAGTAGCCATGCTACCGCATACCTATGAACATTCACGGCTCCCCCCTTCATCCCAGATCGTCGAAATTCGTGTGATCATTGCTTGATGGCCGACATTCGAGTCGATAATTGCTACAATCTCATCACGTTCGTTGGATGTTGGTGTGATGATTGCTCGACCGTCTGACGCACCGACCCCGGTGTTGGGAAAAGTGTTCACCTCTGCGCTCCCCGCATGGCTTGTTACTCCGCCTAGGCGAAGTTTTAGCACGGAGTATGGAGTCGGAAGATCGTTGCACTTGTTGATGGACTGGGGGCCAGTAAACCATGATTCCAGTAGCTCCCGGCTCACGCGGTTGTCACCTCTTGCGAGAATTTCGGCCTCATCGAATTTGAAGGTCTGGTTGGATCTCGTCGAATGAGCCGCAACTTGAGAGCTGGCGTCATTTCTGCGCACCGCTGCCGCGTGTTCGGCCATTCTCGTTCGGAGCTGTCTTCCGGTTTCTCCGACGTACTTGCTTTGTCCGCAACTGCACCAGACCCGATAAAAAACTCCAGACGTTTCTAGCCGTGGCAGTGGGTCTTTCGGCTTCATCAACTGACGCCTGATGGTTGCCTCCGGTCTGTGTGCCACTCCCACCCCAAGTGGTGCGAGGAGGCGGCCGACAGCTTCCGAAACCTTCTTGACATTCGGAAGTGCCCGCCAAGATTTGGTGTCCGTGCGGTTAGGCCTTTCGTCCATTTTGCGTATGCACCGGTTGATAAAGTTGCGCGGATAGCCATTGGCTTTGAAGACCCGTCGGAGGTATTGTAGTTCAGCAATCTTGTCTTCCTGCCTCACTGCAGTGCGTTTCGACACGCCGATAGAGCGTCCTTACACAACTGCGTTTGTGACTGATTGGGTGGTTGCTGTTGAAGTTCAGTACTTGCATCGTATTTGTCGCTTTCCTGAACACTGGTCTTTAGTCCACCACAATCCTTGCGGCATACGAGGACATCCAGGAAGGCCAGCAGGTTGTTCTCTTCCTCCTCCATCGTAAATTGTATGTCCGGGAAGACCGCATTCAGACGTTCCTTGAATGTCAGCAGTTGATCCCGATCGATAACGAAGAAGGTATCATCCACATACCGGGCCCAGAACTTCGGTTTGTGGTGTTGGAAGACCAGCGACTCTAACCGTTGCAGGACCGCCTCGGCGATGAATCCCGAAATCGGCGAACCCATTGGTGTGCCCTTCACCTGTTCGTAGATTGTCCCGTCGAACGTGAAGTACGTCCTGAGACTGAACTTCAGCAGCTGAAGGACTTGGGCGCGTCCAAGACGATTCTCCGTTTCATCGTATTTGCTTTGTAGAAGCAGCTCGATTGTCTCGATCGCCAGGTCCTGGGGAATAGAAGTAAAAAGGGATGAAACATCAAAAGATACCATGACCTCATTTGGATGGAGGCTTACCCCTTTCAGTTTCTCCAGGAATTCTGCTGACGAAGAGACCGTGGTGTCTGACTCAGCGGTCAGGAACTTGAGACGCCGGAACAGCCACTTAGCCAGTCCGTACGTTGGAGTACCTTTGAGCGACACGATGGGTCGGAGAGGAGCGCCGTCTTTGTGCACCTTAGGGAGGCCATAGGATCGGGCCAAAGCCGTATCTTGCGGTCTCGCCATGCGTCTGTCGGTCGGTGTTATTGCACCTGAGTTCTCCAATTCCAAAAACGTAGCATTAATTTCGCGTATCAGCGCCGACTCGAATGTCGGCCATCAAGCAATGATCACACCAAGTTCGACGATCCCGGATGAAGGTGAGAGCCGTGAATGTTCATAGGTATGCGGTAGCATGGCTACTGCATCCTATAAATACCGCAACCCCTTGTGCAACAACCAACCGTTTCTGCTTTTTTGTCTCTGATGATGGAATCGAGTAGGAATCCGAAACGTCAGGCTAATAAAGCTCTTGTCCCGGCGATCGTGCCTCCTTCTTCAAGACTACTTCCTGGGACTCGTCTCTTCGCTTCTATTGGCAATGTATTTGGGCGCGATGCGCTCCGATCGGCCCGGCGATGGGAAACCTTCGCCCTACATATTCGCAGATCCGGTTTCTGCACAGGTGTGTTGCGTCGTGCATTCACCGCCGGATTCGTACTCTGTGGTTTCATGCCTCGCGTTATCATTTGCTGCAAGGACTTTCGTCCCATTTTTACTCCGGTATGCCTTTTGACTCATCATCTATTTCACCAGGCAACCAAACGCTACTTCAGATCTCGGGTCTTCGTGGTGTGGAGTTGAGGTGCAGTGAGTGAATGATCTCATGTAATGTTAACCGAAATTTCGAATTGCGTCCTCTATTATGAAGAACGACTTAGATGGGGTTGTAGTACTGATTGTCATGCGGCATAATCGTGTAGTGTTTTGGACTTGGTAGGGTGTCGGCTTTTGAATGCACTTCTTTCTGACCTCATCTGGAAACCATACTTGGTAGAAAATGACTACTTAAGTAGCGTGCATTTTTCACATTGACTTTCAATGGTCATAGAAATTCAAATACATTCTATGGGAAACATGCACAAAAATATGCATTCTTTTGCTCGTTTGGTAGAAAATCACATTGTATTCATATGTTATGCCTGAAGAAAGAGTATAATTAGGGTTTAAAAAGTTTATAATTATGAGATTTTTTAAGACCCTGCAATGTACATTCATACAGCATTGTATCTGCCCGCTTACCAATGCTGCTTATGAAGCGTACAGAATTGTCCACATTCATTGCAAAATGTTATGCGCTCTATATGGTATTTTCTTAAAGGCACAGAAGAATTTATGATTTTTCCTACTTGGAAAGCATGCATCTTGTAGACTGAAATCCCTAAACGCTGATGCAACGGCTGATCAAGCTCAAGGTTATTTGGGAATTAGAAAACTTTTTAAAACCCTAATTATACTCCTTCTTCAGGTATAAAATATGAATACAATGTGATTTTCTACTAAACGAGCAAAAGAATGCATATTTTTGTGCATGTTTCCCATAGAATGTATTTGAATTTCTATGACCATTGAAAGTCAATGTGAAAATGCACGCTACTTAAGTAGTCATTTTCTACCAAGTATGGTTTCCAGAAGAGGTCAGAAAGAAGTGCATTTAAAAGCCGACACCCTGCCAAGTCCGAAACATTATAGGATTATGCCGCATGATAATCAATACTACAATCCCATCTAAGTAATCCTTCATAATAGAAGACGCAATTCGAAATTTCGATCAACATTTCATGACATCGGTTACTCACTGTATGACTGGTTGACAAACACAAATAAGCCAGCAACTCCCACGGCTACCTTTTTCGATAGTTATTGATTGCCTGTCGCCATGCGATCACCTAGTAGGGCTGTCTTCCGGTGCACAAAAGCAACAGAGTCTTCCTGACCACGGCCGACAGGGCGCAGTCAACTAGTATAGGGTTGGCCCACTTGCCAGGGGTTCCCGGGTTCAAACTTGGGCCCGGTCTGGCTGATCATGGCAATTCAGCCAGAAACGGTTGCTCTTACCGTCGTACTTTTTGGCGGTAAAGCATCCCCGTTCTCTCCTTTCGAGACCTTCTTTGTATTGTTGGAGGACTGGTCACTATCTGTTCCTTCGCAACCACTGACAATCGTTAATCATATGTCCTTTCATAAATACAGTAGGTGAGCTAACCCATGAAATGTCAATCAAAATGCAGCATAATTCTATAATAATTAAGTTGCCACAAGATGCCGACTTTTGAACGAACTTCTTTCCGGCTGCATGCAACACTATACTATGTAAAAATTGCCTACTTAAGTAGCATGCGTTTTTCCTATAATTTTCGGTGCCTGCTTTCGAATGAACTTCTTCCCAAATACATGCGAAAATTGTACTCTGCAAAAATGACTACTTAAGTAGCATGCATTTTTCTTATTGATTTTCGGTGTCCTTAAAAATTCAATTATGTTTCATGAAAAGAATGCATAGAAATATTCATTCTTTTGCTTATTCGGTAGAAAATTACGTCCTCTTCCAATTTTATACTCGAAAGAAGGGTATAATTCGGTTCTCGGGAACTCTTCCAAGTCCCGAATAATTTTGAACCTCGTCCTGCCGTTACACTTGCATTCAGGGCTTCCGAACTACAAACCGTATATTTTCCGCATACGGAAAACCATACATTTCTCTATGGCATAATGAGGAAACATATGGGGCTCATAAAATTTGGCAGTGAATTTGGGTCATATTGTTAACTTTACAAGCCACACTGGTAAATGCAGATACATGGCGTTTTATGAACGGCCATTTCACGGTATTAAATAGTCACAATTAGGACTTTTTAAAACCATATTATACCCTTCCTTCGAGTATAAAATTGGAAGAGGACGTAATTTTCTACCGAATAAGCAAAAGAATGAATATTTCTATGCATTCTTTTCATGAAACATAATTGAATTTTTAAGGACACCGAAAATCAATAAGAAAAATGCATGCTACTTAAGTAGTCATTTTTGCAGAGTACAATTTTCGCATGTATTTGGGAAGAAGTTCATTCGAAAGCAGGCATCCTGAGGCAACTGAATTATTGTAGAATTATGCTTCAGGATGATTATTATTAAAACCCTACTTAATTAATCTTTTCGAAACGAAAATGCATTTCGGAATTTTGGTTGGCATTTCTTGAGTTAGCCCACCTACTGTATGTGTAAGAAACCTAGCCACCCCCCCCCCCTTCCCCCACAACCGCGCCTATCTCCGCCAGCAAGGACCTTTACTGTGCCGTTCGTCTTTTTGCCTTGGACAAGAATGTGGTGAACTGGCTTTTCTCGGTGTTACCAGTCCGCTATCTCATGCACCAATTCGAAAGCCCTTTTGATTTTCTGATCTTTTTGATAACCTAGCCTCTTACTCAGTCAGAAACCCCTCCATCTCTGCATTCTGTACGGTCCAATCTTTGTTCCGTTTTGACCTTACTTGTTTTTTTCACTAACTGCAGCGACTCTGAGACGAAACAGGCAAAAAACGGTTCCTTGACGCTTCCACTTTCCGCGTCGCAAGAGTAAGTCGGGTCTTGCCCTTTTAAAATTTAATTTCACCCTCTGTCAATTTCGTGACATTTTAGCGCACTGTTGCGCTTGGGGGTTTCCTCCTGATTTCAAGCCAGTTCATGGTGCAACAGCCCTTATGTGTTTTGGCGGGTAAATCAGTGAGGCTTCTGAAACACACACACGGAAATGCCGGTGGGGCCAGAACTTTCCGCCCCAGCTATTATTATTGTATAAGCACAGCAAAAAACAAAAACAAAACGAAATGAATGAAACTTGCTCATGTTGATGAAGTCCGCTTTTACTCAAAGCTGCACCTGCCGGAAGGTCTTCGGCACGCTTATCTCCACCTTACTGTGCGTTTAGGTCATGTTCGGTAGCCAGTGCCAATATGATTCATTTTATTCTCGCCCTTACTTGCTTACACCAAGTCATTGTGTCACTTTTTGAAATTCTACTGGGCAAAATCATGCTGATCTTCCTGTTGTCCCACCTCCCCCATCTTCATAGTTTGAAATCCCGCGAAGCATTTAATTTTCGTTAGAGGGTTATGAAGTGTTGTGCTTTCAGTCACTATTCTGCCAGCCTTATCAACTTTGTCACCTTAGACTTGTAAATTAAATGCCTGTGTCATACCTGATTTAGCTGACCTTATCAATGTAGCCCTTAGTGACCCCAGGCGCAGCGTTTTTCGACTTGTGGTCGACTGTTGGAGTCATGAGGACCGTCTCATTCTTTTGAGCAAGCTTTTTGGTGTGTGTAGTTCACTACTGGGACCTAAGAGAAGCCGACGTGGACAGTACTAGCTGCGTCTGTCAGGCGAATAAGGTGCTTGTTCCAGGAGTCAAGTCTTCTTCCTCCAAACGGTCTCCTGGAGATCACCCTTTCCTTGGTAACCGCAATGGTAGCTTGCCGGTAACAAGCCCGAGTCAAGCCGACTAGAAATGAGATTAAGCGTAGCCTTGAAGAAGGAGACACGATCGCTGGGACAAGAGCTTTATATTAGCCTGACGTTTCGGATTCCTGCTCGAACCCATCATCAGAGACAAAAAGCAGATACGGGTGGCTCATGCACATGGGGCTGCAGCATTTATAGGATGCAGTCGCCATGCTACCGCATACCTATGAATATTCACGGCTCCCCCCTTCATCCGGGATCGTTGCACTTGGTGTGCTGACTGCTTGATAGCCGACATTAGCGTCGTTAATGCTGCAATCTCATCACGTGCGTTGGATGTTGGTGTGATGATTGCTCGACCATCTGACCCACCGACCCTGGAGTTGGGAAGTGTTCACCTGTGCGCTCCCCGCGTGGCTAATAACTCCGCCTAGACGAAGTCTCAGCACCGAGTATGGAAGAGGAAGGTCATTGCACTTGTTAATGGACTGGGGGCCAGTAAACCATAACTCAAGCAGCTCCCGGCTCACGGGGTTGTCACCTCCTGCGAGAATTTCGGCCTCGTCGAATTTAAATGTGTGACCGAATCCCGTCGAATGAGCAGCAACTTGAGAGCTGGCGCCATTTCTCCGCACCGCTGCAGCGTGCTCGGCCATTCGCGTTCGGAGCTGTCTTTCGGGAGCTGCTTGCTAGGATTCATCTCTTCGCTTCTATTGATTAAGCGTAACGATTGACCAGATATGAAGCCTCTGTATCGACAGTTCGACCGTCGATTCCGACGCTGTCCACCGTGTGCTACACAGCAATGTGAAGCAGACACGGTGACTTGCGCGTGATTTAGTGTATAGTGATAGTAGGCTTGCGCAGCATCTACCGCACTCTCTCCTCCTCCCCCACCTGGGCCCCGTGCTAAGACAGGGTCAAGAAGACCGGAGGTAGGGAAGGGATACCGGGATCACTGAGGCACGTCATCTTCGTCTGCGTCATTTCGTACGCACTCGACCGCGGAGAAGAGGCCATGGTCGCAGGCTGGTTCTCCTGGGAGATAAGATGCCAACCTTCGTCGTGGTTATCGTTAAATCGACTCTGCGTTGTCGGCCTCGGGACTTGATTACATCTGTGTCGTTGATATGGAGCCTTCTTCTTAGTTGCTTCCACTCGGCCTCAACATCCCTCCGGGACTTATTTCAAACTGGCATCCACTTTCCTGGCGTGATCGGGTCTCCCTCCAGTCGTGACGGGTATCAGGGTGCTTAACTTTATTGCTGCCTTCTTAGCTTTCTGCCTGCCGCGTGGTTGTTTTTTTGCGACCGACAGGACGCATAACTCAGACCACACGCATACACTTAGTGACCTAACTCATGAAATGTGTCGAAATTTATGAATGATTGCCAACCACTCGCAAACCAACACCATTTCTTGAGTCCGATTTCTATGCTTATTAAGTACAAGTTTAAAGGAATTAAAAGCATAAAAGAAATATTAAAGGCAGTGTTGCGTTGTTTAGAAATTCCGATTTATTTTGAAAGGCGCAATATCCCGAAAGCGTCAGAAATTGCTCTTATTTAGTAAACTTCGTTTTTAAATGTATGGAATGTATTCTCATACCAAAAACAGCAAATATGAAGGTAGACATAAAATAACGTCTAATAACAGTGTTTTAGTGAAGTTTGCATCTACATATCGTTTAATAAGTAGTGTGATTTCATATATGACGGTTTGTCAACTGTCCACATTTTGAGTGTAGATTCCGAAACAGTTTTCCAGTGTTTCGTTTTTGATTTTATTTCTTTGATGCAAATGAGATGGGGTTCACTAAGAGAAGCTGAATTTTGCTTGATTTCACCGACGGGGACGTCGTAGGAACAAAAGTTTTCATAAGGTGACGTGCTATGAAGCCGGTCGGTGCCTAATAAATTTAAATGCAACTGACAGGCATGATCGTTAACATACCATTTTGTGTTTATAGAGAGAACTTTTTTCCGTTAAATTAATTTACACATCTCGTTCGTTTTGGATTACGTTGAGTTTCAGATGGGCCTCGAAATATTGCTGAATACTTCATGATTTTCAGTGTTTTCACCCGATCCTCTATAAAGACAAATTCTGAATCACTGGCCTGTTAAGAACTTTAAAATAAAATTATTCTTGAAGGCATTTACCGAATTAGTAAGTGTTCGGACGCTCCTATTCACGAAGATGGTCGTTTGTGTCACATGTGAAGACTCATTCAAACATCAAACTTTATTTTCGAGAAAAATGCCTGTCCACAACGAAAGTCAGCAACGAATATGTCTTCGATAAATAAGAAAACCTTCCTTAATAAGTTACCTCTTGAAGAAGTGCTTTATTACTGCACTCCGTTGACGGATCTCTGTGTACTTTGCATTTTTGCACGGCGAGGCGGTTTCTTTCACGTTCCTAAGAAATACTAATATTTTTCTACCGTAAACGCAAGAACATGCCTTTCTCTATACATTGAGGCCACTTCCACTGTCTTTGCTCGCTTTTAGACGCCGTTCTTCGATTATGAATGCACGGCAGAGGACCCGTATAAATACTGATATTTTGACGAAACTAAAAATGTTTTGCTCGTTGTATTTCTCAAAAAAGTATGCACAGAAGCTAAACCACACGGAGAATAGTGCTTTATATGTTTAAAGCTGGAAATGACCATTCCGTGGTGGTTATCTCTGTGACATCAGGTAGAATTTTCCAAACGGCAAAACAATGTCAGCCCACTTAAACGAAGGAACCCCTATCTGCGTTATTACTGCACTTTTGAGCACCAAATCCCACAGATCTGCTAATTTGACACTGAGAGATTGATAAAACCTCTAGTTTTTTTAAAATAACCTTTGTCTTAGCAGATTGATCACCATGGTTGACATCGGACATAAAATAAATTTTCAAGTTCGGCTAAATCTGTTTACTAAAACTCTCGGGGGTAAATTACTATCCTTTCAATGAAAAAGTCGCTCAAATGCGTAACCGGAGTCTAGGACATGTATTAGCATAGGAAATTGCACGAATATATTCCAACGTCCATTTTCGTTAAAATTTACTGATATTTTACTTGATATAATTACGTAAACACAAGTTCTGCACAAGAAAACGACATTTTATCGAAAAAAAAATGGATAAGCGAACAAAATGCTCAACATTAAAGGCGTCCACAAATTTTCTTATCAGTTTCCGTTATCAGATTTCATGAGATAGGTCACGCACTGTAAGTACCTTCATGCCCGCTCTGGCGTGACAAGGCAACGTGCAAGACTAATAAATTTTCTCATCGACTAGAATGCGTCGTAAATGCCAGCTGTGAACTGCTTGCTGCTGAAGTCTACCACATGCTGCGTGAGGTAACGAGATGACGATTTTTCAGTGAACACATGTTGACCTTACTCAGGCCAAATTGTCGGTACATTCTGAGTTGGCAGTTTCAACGCGAATGGGTCCGTGTTTTTGACGCTGTATAAACACTGGAAGATCCAGGCACGCTTCAAAAGCGAAAATATCTGCAAAAGTAGATAGGTAAAGCAATGCATAAGTCAAGAGACCTTTCTGTGGGCGCAAGCGGCCCTCTAAACACTGCGGCGGGCTCCTTTTTAGCGCTATCAAGTGACCGAACGTTTTGCGCCTACTATCTGACGCCTTTTAGAGGATCTTCGACTGCCTTGCATCATGATTTTGCTGTCTCAACGTGTGTACAGTGTGGGCTGTGGCGGCACGCCGTGCCAGCGATCAGCGCCCGATCCCGTCTCTTCTCCTCTCAAGTCTGTCTTTTGACAACAGGCTCTGGTTCATGGGGCGAGAGTGCGCTAGATTCGGCGCTGGTCTACTATCACCATAAACTAATTCGCGCGGATGAGGCGACCGACGGGATAACTCGGACCTTGCAGTGTATGTTTCTGACTGGCTGGCGGACTGAGAGTCAGGCTGTGTAATGGCTCCTCTATGTGACCACTATGACGCCCTCACGAATGTGTGGTCCAAACTGTCCACTGCCTTTGTGTAGAATCCTTGTGTCGTGTTCGGGGAGCTGGTCGCACGTGTGGCGCGCGTAGTCAAGCTCCCTACTTCTGTCAACCCGCTTTACCAAATCCCCGCATCAGAAAACTTACCGGCGCGGACAGTGGATTGGTGTATGGGAGAGGGAAACGAGAAGGAGGTCGACTCTCAGCGCATATTACCCACTATGGACAATCTGGTGCGCTTGAACCTATTGCGGTTCTCTCAGAGCCGTGGTTTAAAAGACTGTCAACTGATGGGGTTACTCCGTCTTCCTCTCTGTGTGGTGAGTCGCTGCAATGGCTCTTAATGTGGCCTTAATTGCGCTTCCATCCAGTTGGAATCTAAGCCACTCCCTTGTTATGTGAAATCCTGGTCAGATGTACGTGGTGGACCAGAGAGTTCGATGTCACACCTGGGCGCAAGTTTACGCCGTACCAGTCACCTGTGCCTTCTCCCGTTTTCGGTTTTCTTAACTCTGTCGCGACACCGGGCCCAGGTGGTGGCGAAGGATGAAATGCGGTAGATACGACACAAGTCTGCTATCACTTTAAACTCACGCAAGTTGCCCTACCTGCACCCCCACCCCGCTGTGGGGCGCGTGGTGGACGTTGTCGGAAACGACAACTGATTTGTCCGTAATGTGTGCCGAAATTCGGGATGATGCGTCTACTTTGTTTCGTTTGATGCAAACACTGTTGCAGTCTGTGCATAGTAGTCCATATATCCACTTTCATTGTTAGTCATATCCAGTGGGACACTTGGTGCCTCCGCCTTTGCTGAGTATGACGTTAGGGGTACCAAAGTCGACTCTCACACCAACCGAGTTATGAAATCCGTATTTCTTGTCTACTGTTACGTACAAGGGATATAGGCGTACTTGTACTTGTTACGGCTGCGATCATGCCTGTTCTAGTCGACCTCGATGATGTCCCGAACTGTACCCCCCTCCACGCGCTACGATCCGCGGCAACAGATCTGGCCAGTTCAATACGTTCTCTTCGCTAACGACGGAGACCGAATACCGAAGGTCCAAGAACCACCTCCATGTCTTGGCGAACTGTGTCGAACCAGGTTTTGAGTTGAGGCTATGGGTGTGGATGCGACCTTTCCTCTGATTCAGAATGACTGCTGTGATAACCATTTGTGGGTTACTAGCCATCATCATGAGCCAAGCAAACCTCACCCTCGGGTTTGGATAACCTGGGGCTCGTAACAGGACGTTTCACCACGGGATCATTGTCCTGTCCACTGGTTAATCTGGTTAGATTCCCCGTACCACCTCTGTGAACCGTTTTGCCACGGCAGCTATCATCAGCTCGTGCTGGATTTCATGCACAACCGCGCAATTGTTGTTAAGTGGTGACTTCGTAATACGCCAAATATCGGTTGCTTTGTAGTGCCCAGTTGTTTTCAGTAGACCATTAGAAGGTTCTGACTTCTAGACGCTTTAGGAATACGGGCTCCGCTCTACTCGACTTGTATTCAGTAGTGGGTTGCACTTTAAGGTTATGTTTACTACAACCTGGGAAACAGTCATCCTGTTGGGTCTTCGGCCTGAAAAAGGAAATTCCATCAACGTTATGGAGTTTCCAGTGCCTCTTGCCTGATTGTCAGCCAATCTTTTGGATCAGCCGGTTCGATTTGGTGGAACCCGTCGGTCCTCGGACGAGGTTCTCCACATTGCTGTCTCTCCCTGCTCCGCTCTAAGTTTATATCGGCACCACTTGACCTAGAGGAAAGGTCTGGATCCCTTGAATAGACCGCCAACTTAACATCAATTGCTGGCAGCATAGCCTGCGTTCGCAGAACCTGCGCCGTACCTGGTTACGATGCTGCAAAATTTGAATCACACAATGTCACTTCTGACAGCAGCTGGTGTAGGCACAGTTAGTGGATGACACGACTCATTAATTACGCGAGAATTTACGAAGAACCTATTGATTGCGTAAGCCTGGTGGTCATTTGGTGGATTCTAGATGGATAACTTAGGAAATCTTGGTTGAGCGACCAGCTTACTGCATCAGATTTGGTGGATCCCAGAGGTTGAAGTAGGTTGGGCGAGTAACTGGACCCAAATGTGATTAAAAACTCGCGTCCCCCAATGGGGTCTCGTACCTCAGGTTGCTAGAACGTTGGCTGTGCTAACACTTCCCCATGCTGTCGTGGATTCGAATTCAACCAAGGTTGCCGATTTTCTCACAGTTGGGTCAAAATGAATTTACGAAAGATCTCTGATGAGTCTGAAACTGATCTAAATACATCAACCGAAAATATCATTTAATGATTAACAGCTTTCACTTAAAAAAAACGCAAAGGATGTATTGAATACAACCCTGCCTTGGTTAAAAATAACATTTTTCTAAAGAGAAGCATAAGTTTCCAAAGCGCAAAAAGTCGTGTCGAACGTGCAAGCCTACAGTGAGTGACCGATCTCATGGAATGTTGGCTGAAATTCTGAAATGCGTTTTCGATTAGGAAGGATTACTTAGGCGTGGTCGTAATACTGATTATCTGGCGGCATAATACTATAATATTTCGGACTCGACAGGATGTCAGCTTCTGAATACACAACTTTTCAATCTTTTGTAGAAACCGCACCTGGTAAAAATGACTACTTAACTAGCATGCATTCTTCTCATCGATGTTCGATGGTCTCGCAAATACAAATATATTTTATAGAAATCGCGAACAAAAATATGCTTTATTTCAGTCCGTTTATAGGGAATCACGTCATCTTTATATTTTATACTCGAAGAAGAACTATAGTTAGGTTTTAAAAAACTTTTCTTATGGCAGAATAATTTGGAGCCTGATCATTCGTTACATCAGCGCTTAGTGATTTCAGTCTGCAAAATGCATGCGTTCGGCGGAAAAAAATTACATGTTCTTCTATGCATTTAAAAGGAAATCGTACAGAGTCCGTAAAATTTTGCAACGGATGGGGACCATGTTGTACACTTCGTAAGGCACTGCGGTAAACGGGCAGGTACGATGATATGTGAATGGGCATTGCGCGATCTTAAAAAGTCTCATAATTAGGAACTTTTTAAAAACTTAATTTTACTCCTTCTTCGAGTATAAAATACAAAAAAGACGAAATTATCTGTCAAAGGACTGAAAAAAGCTTGTTTTTGTTTATATTTGAATTTGTATTTGTTTATATATTTGAATTCGCAAGACCATCGAAAAACAATGAGAAAAATGCATGCTATTTAAGTAGTCATCCTTTTTACCGAGTACGGCTTCTACAGGAGATTGAAAAGCAGTGCATTCAAAAGCTGACATTCTACCGAGTTCGAAATATTATATGAGTATGCCGCAAGATCATTAGTATTACAACCGCGCCCAAGTAATCCTTCCTAATCGAAAACGAATTTCAGAATTTCAGCCAACATTTCATGAGATCGGTCACTCACTGTACTTTATCGAAGTCCAGTACCTGACCTATCTTAAGAAATGTTAATCGAAATACTGAAATGTGGTTTCGACTAGGAGGAATTACTTAGGGAAGGTTGTAAGGCTTATTATCTTACAGCATAATGCCAAGACATTTCAGTCACGCCGGGGCTTTGGGTTTTTAATGAGCTTCCTTCCGACTGCCAGCAAAAACTACACTTATGTAACGCGAATCTTTGACATCGATTTTCGATGTTCTTATACATCCAACTGTATTTTATAGAAAACGTGCATAAATTTGTTATTTCCTGTACGCGTTTGGCAGAAAATAACGTCTTCTGCAAATGTCATGCTTGTAGGGAAGGGTATCTTTCGGTTTTGGAAAGAATTTTTTTCAATTCCCAAATAATTTTAAACGCGATCGGCATTTACGCTTGCGCCTAGAGTTTACAAGTTACATGCTGTATACTCTCCGTGTAACGGAAATGATACATTTCTCTACCCTGTTAAAGACAACTCACATATTTTTGCAGTGAATGCCGACCACGTTGTATACTTCATAAGCAGCATCAATAAGGGGACAGATATTATGCTTAGCGAATGGGCATTTCATGACATCGAAAAATCCCACAATTACAAGCCTTTTCTGAAGCGAAAGATACCCATCGTTCAAGCATGACATTTAAAAGGAAACCAACTTTGACACCAAATTAGTATATGAAAAAATACTTATGCACACGCCTTCTTTCAAATATGTTTAAATTTATACGGGTATCAAAAACAATATGAGAAATTCATGCCACTTCTTTGACAGTCATTTTTTCTCAAGTGTGGTTTTTGCAGACCGTGGGAAAGAAGCTCATTCAAAAGTCAGCATCCTGGCGTGACTAAAATAGCTTTGGATTTTACTGTACGATGACAGTGCTACCGTCGTGAACGACGATGTCCACATGGTGTACGATAGTAAATATTACAACCCCACCTTTCTAGTCGAATGCGCTTTTCACAATTTTGACCAACATCTCATGAGGTAGGTCAGCTATTTATGCAAGCAATTGAGTTAATAAAACTGCGTAAACAAAGTGACGTTTGAGAAGCGTCTTTGACTAATCCTCAGGTTGAATATCCCCCAACAACTTGACAGTTCGACCGTCGGTTTCGATGATGTCCACCGTGTGCCCCACAGTTGCAGCAGCAGTGGGAGCAGGGACGGTGACTTACGCAGGGGTTTATACTGCCAGTAGACTTGCGTAGCACCTACCTACACTCTCTCATCCTCCCTCGCCCGAGCCCGGTGTCAAGACAGAGTCCAGAAGACCGGAGACGAGGGAGGTCGCAGGTGGATGGCTCGGACGGATCCTCACCTTGGCGTTCCACCACACCCCCTGGTCCACACAACAATAACCAGGATTTTAACCAACAACAGAGATTTGGAGGCTGGCACGACCGAAGCCGCACCTAGGCGTGCCGCCAACGCCTGGCTCGGATCCCACACTGCGATGGGAGTGCCATAAAGGCCACATTAAAAAGGAGCCATTGCAGCCTGGCTCTCAGACCGCCTCCGGTCAAGGAGGAGGTCCAAGTTACCCCGTCAGTTGGCAACCTTCCAAGCCACGGCTTTTAGCGCACCGTGATAGCTTCAAGCGCGTCAGATTGTTTATAGTGAGGAGAAAGTGCGCTGAGTCGTCGACCTCACTCTCCCTTCCAACTCCCACACCTCAGCCGCTGTCCGAGCCGGTCAGCAGACTGGAGTGGGGAGTGGGCGCGGTGGCTGTCATGGTCGACTGACCATGACTGCGCGCGCCACGGCACGACCTGGCCCCCCGTACACACAACACCAGGATTTCACACAACGGGGGTTGAACGGCGTGTCTCTCACTTGCGTGAGAGAGCCGTGGAAGGTGCAGCTTCAGCCCGTCCCCAGCCCACCAGTCCGCCACTCCATACAACACACAACAACTTAATGTGTTACAAAACGGCCTAAGGAGGATTGGGTGTAAATTTCCTGTTTTTGTATTCCTCGAAATGTGACTGGCTACGGCGAAGAGGGTTTGACTTTCCTTCACTGATGTGGACGTCATTTCACAAGGTCGAGATGCCGGCCAGTGTCTAGAAAATTGGAATATAACTGGCAGATGCAAGCATAAGCATGCTATCCCCTGTGCATCATGAAATTACTTCTCTCCCAAAATTACTGTGTGCTTTCTGGCGACGGTGGGGTCGGCTGAGTTTCGGGAAGTTTTTAAAATGTCGGTGAATGGTTTGGGGTTTCCAGTGTTCTACGCTGAAAGGCTTTCACATAATTAATAAGTTCTCGGACTTCCGCCTTGTGAAGATCACGCTTTACGCGCCATATTTTCTGATTTACCCAAGCACAAATTCTAATCAGTGAGAGAGGAAGAGTTTCACAACAAAAAAACTTAGGATTTATACGTTTTTAGTTAAATTAATAGCAACCTGCGTCGAGGCCTGCCCCCACACCCCCCACATGGCGCCATTTTTTCTGTGTGCGCAGCCCGAATAACGTGTGCCGTTCCCTTATCTAGTTTCCATGTTGACCCAGCGCATCTATACCGTTGCCCGTTGTAGGGGTACCTTATAAACACGAAGCGGATGTCTTAGCGAGGAGAACTGCCACGGAGCCACTTGAAGGAGGAACAAGCTGTTCAATCTGTTGGCAACCTGGATGTGGAGTAATATATCACACACACACAAGTAGAAATTTCGGGCACAGGTAGTGCTTATAAGGAAACAAAGATGTTAAATCCAGCTCACGAATCGTGCGCGTACTTGGGTCTTTCGTCTATGCCCCCCAAGCGGCCCACGTGGCAGATGCGCTGGACCAACACGGGGGGAGCCATATTGGACTCTGGCAGGCGTTGTCGGATTTGCGCACCATAACAAATGCCAACACATTTCGGGGTGCGATGGCAGACCCGGCTGCCGGCAGACGTCGCGCTCACTGGGACCCCTGCCGCCCCCCCCCCATCGTTTTTGTAGGCCAAAAGCCTGGTCCTTTCTTGTGTGGATCAGGGGGTGTGAAGTGGAACGCCAAGGTGCAAGCTCGACCGTGTTATCCACCTGCGTCCCCCCTCGCCTACGGTCTTCTTGACTCCGTTCGACATGGGGGCCCAGGTGGGGAGTGGGAACGAGAGAGTGCGGTAGATGCTGCGCAAGTCTCCCATCACTATCAACTAGTTCACGCGCAAGTGGCTGTGCCTGCTCTCTTCTTACCGCATAGCATATGGCGGATACCGTCGGAATCAACGGTCGGACTGTCGTGTCACTAGCTGGCGGAGTTTCGGTGAAAGTAAAAAACTTAGATTACGGGGAGGAGGAGAGAGTGTGATAGATTTTATGCAAGTCTACTATAACTTTAAACTAAATCACGCACAAGTCACCGTCCCTGCTCCGCCCTGCTGTGGAGCACACAGTGGACATCGTCGAGACCGACGGTCGAACCATCATCAGGTCGTTCGTCGGAAGGAGCCTTCTGATTGGTTACTGTCTACCAAAAGTGCTTCTAGAACTTCGTGTGTCTACGAATGTGCCAACCATGTCTGTGCACTGTTTAAGGACATACAAAACTGAAAGGAATGCCATATTAAGGAATTAATTCTAACGCTGCAAGAGATTAAGAGATAAATGTCTTTGGGGCCCATGCCTCGGCGAAGGCTAGAAACTTTGCAAATACCACATTAAAACAAGGATAAAATAGTTTGCAGAAAGAGCAGTATTACCAACCAATGTCAGGGGGTCGCGTTCGCTCACCTAAGTGCATGACGTACTCTTACCAGAAGCAGGCGTTTGCCTGATGTCTAAAAAGGTTTACTGAAACCACCTTATGTGATTGTTATTTTATCGTTTCATGTTAACCGACGAGGACCTTGACGCGGTGTCTCTACCCCCTCACTCTTCTTCAGGTTTCACATTAGGTCCGCCTTGAATGCACAGACGCTGACCCAGTTTCAGGCCTACGCTGCACAACAACACCCTGACGATCACGCGAAGGTACATTCCTTAATTCGATTATGTCGAATTCCTTAAGCCGTTCATTCTTGCGCCAGGAACTATCTCTTTCCCGTTTTTGACGTCATCTTTCATTTCCACGAATACTGGAAGTCTGTGACGCCCCTCAAGCTTGACCATCTGAGGATGATTGTTTCGTCTCGGAGCATAGTTCGTTCATCGTTAGCATGACGCCTCTCACCACCCATATCGTTTCGGCGTCAGACGGCGGTTTTGGGTGTTTGTTTCTTTCGGTTGCTATGGTGTTGGCGGCCGCCATCAAGTAAAGCGTTGGTTTTGAGCCTGCACAAGCCACTGCGGCGTGTCCGAACTCGTTGCCAATAGACAGCGACAGGTCACTGTGTCTCGGGATTTTTTTTTTTCGTTTCTATTTTAGCTCTCTACATTTCTGCCCCCAGCCTTAATGGCTATCCGACAAGTGTCCTCAATCGCGGCGGTTTCTTTCTGCCCTCAGTATAGCGTTCCTTGCCTACCACAGCACATGACGGTCGGACGTTCCCGTCGGGAGGCGTCGATTAAATATCCGCAAAGTTTAGTCGCTCCGGCATCACGAGAGCAACGCGCATACTGATCCATTTCGGGATTTATGTGTCTGGGTTCTACTCCTGCCGTTTCACCCCTAAGGTCCTCGTTGGGCAAAATGACGATCTTACATCTCCTCAGAGGACAGCGCTCCCCGTGACGCCCTTCGCTGTTGACATGCCCAACCAGGATGCGCGGTGCATAGTCTTTCGGCCGTCCAAAAGTCCGGTTAGGTTCGACCACAGTCGAGTCCTGCGGCTTGACTGATCGTCTCCTGCCTGAATTCGCCTCCCCGACGTGGAAGTTGGCGGTTCCGAGATTGTGCTGTAGGCCGTGTGATGTCTTATCTGACGGTCGTCAACATTCGTCATATCGTGGGACCGTTGTGGCTTTAGGCCTCACTTATACGCAACCCTTTTATCAGATTGTTGCCCAGCTACACATTAAAGTGCAACTGCTGCATTCTTCGTGACCGACTGTTCACCAAACCCTAGAGTCTGTCTTTTTCGCAACCAGCCCTCACTTAAGGCCGTTGCACTATCCGCCGCCTGTGAAAGCACCACGTACCACTACTCGTCAGGTCAGCAGGCTGACCTCGTTCTTTCGGAGTTCCTGGCGTCCCGGTCTTCTGAGACATTTAGGCACAGCCACGGTCATCACTTATAAGTTAATACGACTGCATTAAGGGGAACTTTTATTTACCTGACGTTCCGAATTCTCACTCGGATTGATGGTAAGAGTGGAATCTGTTCACTATGATAGATGTGTGTTCCCATGGCAACCGCCTGTTGTGTGCCCATCATCCTCATCTGTGGCTGTCTCTAATGATGCCTTCGGGGGAGAATCTGAGACGTCAGGCAAATAGAAGTCTTGTCCCAGCGATCGGATCTTTCTTTAAACTGTCTCCTGAAACTCTAGTTTTTCGAACTGTACCTCCCCATCCGTGATGATCCACGGCAGCAGATCCGGAGAGCTCAACCCATTCTCTTCGCTAAGGACGGAAACCGAATACCGAAGGTCTAAGAACCACCTCCATGCCTTGGCCAACTGTGTCAAGCCAGGTTTTGAATTGACTCCCTCTTCAACGACTCCAAATGGGGTAACGGTATCGGATCGAGCTCAGTAACACTGAGCTCATGAGGTGGACTACGGATAACATGTCCAAACCACCTCAGTCGTCTTTTTTGATGGACTGGGTTGTCCTTGCGATGTTGTCGCAACGAGCGCAGGCTGTCTCATTTGAGACGAAGTCGGTGTACTTCACTCAAAGGATTTTCCTCAAGCAGTGGTAGTCAAATACCTCAAGTTTTCGCTCGTCCTTCACGCTCACAATCCAGCATTCACAATCATAGAGAAGGACAGACCGGACAGATGCATGGTACATGCGAATCTTGGTGGCGATGGAGAGGTCGCGTCGGGTCCATGGGCATTTTCTAAGACTCGAGAAAACCCTTCGGCCAGCATCAATTCGGGAGACAGTGTCATCCTTACTCTGGCCACTGGGCAGCAGTCTCGCCCCAAGATACGGTAAAAAACAACCGAAACCCCCTAACACCTCCAACGCCGGCACATTGCCGCCCGACCTCATCCCGCATCAGTGACCTGCCGCCCTCATTCCCACTGATCCGCAATTCCCCCTTCTTTCTCCACCTCCAGCACAGGGCGCCCTAACGGTTCTTCCTTCCCTCTCCCTGCCCCACAGCCTACCTCTCACGAATCAGCCATCTATTTTTCGTTGTCCGTCCTGTCACGCCTGCCGACCTACTCTGCCGATCTCACTTTCCCCTCTGTTCATTTCGTCTGACGACAGGTCGGTGTCACCGACTCGAAAATTCACGAGTACAACTCGATTTTCCGACGAGCCTTCTTCTTTTCTTATTTAAAACTCTCTACTACTTCAAGTTACCATCCCTCAATTTCGAGAGGCGCCTTTTCCTGGTCAGGGATTCAGCTTGAAAACGCTTTAATCTTCCCAGCGTTTATGGATAAACCGAATGATTTAGCGACCTCGTTCACCCTTGACACCATAGACAGCAGATCATCAAGACTTGAGGCAACTAAGGCGATATCCTCGGCATATTTGAGATCGCTCAGTCAGTGTCTGGATGCAAGTTCAACACCGTCACCTTCCTGTAGGGCACTCCCGAGAATCCAGTCAATAGCGTAGTTGAACAGAATGGGTGGCAGGATACAACCCTGTCGGACGCCAGCCCGAACACCAAACGGCTGGGTAAGATTGTTGCGGACCAGGACTCGCGCGGTGGTGGGGCGATAATAGTACTTGATCATGGCGATGGTTTTTGGCGGTACACCATCTAATGCCATTACCCGCCATGGGGACTCACGATGGACGGAATCGAACGCGGCGGCAAAGTCAACAAAGCAGACGTCCGTCGGCTGCTGGTAGCTATGGCGAGATTCGGGAATGCACCTTAGTGTGAATACCTGGTCCGCGCATCCACGTCCAGCACGAAATCCGACTCCCGCGAACGCCATAGCGTGGATCGTACTACTGCATTCGAACATATTTTCATGAGATTTCTTTTGAAATATGAGTAAAGGAGGACGCCCAACGGCCGCTCGGATTATTTGTTCGAATATGTCCCTTCTAGCTCCTTGGTTCGATAACTAAACCACAAGGCAGCGGTGGCAAGCAAACTTATCTCATGGCGGTTCACAGTCGCCATGACGCCTCCGGTTCGCCAGACCCGAAAGCCCGCTTATTTCGCAGAAAACCTTCGCTGAAGGCCGTTTCCTTATCCGCTATCTATGGACGCGCGGGTAGCCAGCAGCTGGGTTAACGGGTAACCCGTCTTCCCGGACATCATAAGCCGTCATTAAGAAGGGTTTTCTTGCGGTGACTCCATTGCCATCTGTATAGTCATCCAGATATCGTGTTCACTATACAGATTCACCAAAGCTAGATATTCCGTCGTGACAGTCTAAACTGCATATAAAATCAACCCTCGGAAAAATTTATGGTTACGCTCGACCTTTGGGCCCTGCACTACTTTTTGAGTGCATTACTCATCTTGATCGCACTTATATGTGTGATTTCAGTGACCTATGTGCTAGGGCAGGGACCACCTACCCCCCTACCAATCCACCAGTGTATATTGCTGTTTTTTTTGAGTTCGTGGTTGGTGTGCTTTTTTCGAAGATCTGAAAGCCCCTGCTTTTTCCCCTATTCGATCCCTCCCCACCTCCTTACCATTTGATAATCCTCCCCTTTTTCCCGACCTTAATGACAACCCTACAACTTCTGTCTTCTGCTTCTAGCAACTGAAGCTAATATCGCAGCTACAGGATCGGCACTTTCATCAGTACATGGAGTATCTTGCTCAAAACCACCTGCCAAAGACTGCTGAAGAGTCACCCGAGGCCAACCACTCACCGCACCTCCATGAGCATCCAAATTCTGCCGAGGCGGATGCAGTACCGTCGACGGAAAGTAAAGCCTCCGATGAGACGGTGAGTCCACTGTATTCCATGCTGCCACTTAGATGACTAACTTGTCCTTTTTTGGGCTACAGTTAAGTTTGAGTTTGGCGAATTTTTGTAGGGAGAGAGAGAGGGCCGGTTCTGCCGTCGGTACCGATTAAGTCCACCGCGTGCCCCACAGCAGGCTGGGTCCCGGGGGCAGTGACTTCTGCCTTAATTAATTTATAATGAAAAGTCAAGTTGGCGAACACGCGTTTTCGGTAATTCTTGGTCAGGCCAATACAATCACATGAAGGAATAAAAATGTACAAAATCAACAGTGTTTATTAGGTGTCTCAAGGGCTATTAAGTCACTAACACTCATCATCCCCACGCCGCCCGTATGACAAGGTTGGCGGGTGTTAGTCGTCAGAGCTAGGGGAGGGGGGTAAGAGAGTCTTTGAGTGATGTTCTTGGATTGAGTACACGGAGTACCCATCATCGTGATTAGGGATTTGACGCGGCATGGCTTCATCACTTGGGGTTGGCGTTGGCCACGGCAGAGAAAGCGCTTCTGTCAGAGTTTTCTGACAGCATAACACCGGATTCGCTAACCGTGTAGCTACTGTCTCGGCCGTTGCTAGCATCCGTTGGCGTAGGCCTTTAGAGAAGCATTTTGGTGTCCGGTAGACAACCTGAAATGCTTCCTTGGCATCGACTCGGTGATTCGTATCGATTAAATGTGCGAGAATAGAACTCGAATTCGGCCGGGTCTCACCTCTGTCTAGCAGGGCGGGCATATGTTCACGCACCCTCTTTACCAGGCGTCTCGTTGTACGGCCGATGTATCCTGCTCCACAGGAGCAAGTGAATGAATAAATGCACATTGGTGTGGCCTCCAACGGTAGTCTGTCTTTACCTCCCAAACGTAGGAGGGGAGAGTTTGTGAAGCATACGCGTAAATTCGCTGCGGGGAATGCCCTCGTGATAACTGTAGTTAAGAGCCGTTTAACTAGTTCGCTTTCTGCGTCTCCTGCGAAAGGCAATCTTATGAATACCTCCTTCTTTTCCGCAGTCGCAACAGTGGGCTTTTCGGCGCGTTCCCCAATATTTCGGAGGATAAATCTATCAGGGTTTCCATTCTCCCGCAGCTGTTGAAGTTCTTCTTCAATAGCTCCCGGTGAGCAGATGCGTCTCACTCTAGCCGCCAATCTCTGGACTAAATTCCGTTTGATGTTTAGGGGAACAAAACTGTGGAAATTAGTGGTAGCAGAATTACGCAGCATCTACCGCACTCTCTCCTCCTCCCCCACCTGGATCCGGTGTCAAGACATAGCAGACTTGCTCTGGGTCGGCAATGCTCCTCTTCTCCCACCCACCTGAGCCCAGAAGGAATCAAGAGGAGCGGACGCAGGATCGGACTCAAGTGGCCGCCAGGGGAAAAGCAGCCTCTCTACGCGTGCCACACGCTCGCCTGGTCCGCTCAAAGTGGACCGAGTTTTAACACAAACAAGAAGGCGGTGACTCGAGTCCCATAAGGGTCATATTAAAAAGGAGTCATTGCAGTCTGAATTTCCGTCCTTGGAGGATGACCGAGTTATCACGTTAGTTGGCAGCATCCCAAACCATAACGTTTAGCGCGATATAGTAGCTTCAAGCGCTGCAGTGCAATAGAAACGTACATCCTGGGATCGGCCTTATTCACCCGTTTCTCTACCGCGTACCCGACGAAGTAAATGATTCTTATACGACTAATTGGCACAGAAGTCTGAGACTTACTTGGTGTCGTGTGAGCACATAAATAAGAAAGTTGATTTGCGGCAATTCTAAGCGATAAAGTCCTGGGAATAACCACTTCTGGATCATTTGTCGCCCGTTTGCCAACTTCGATCTTTTCGGTTCCGGCATTTGGACGTGGATCAAGTTAGTACTTGACTCTAACGCTCTTTCGGTAGTACTCGTTGATTAATACTTACTCTCCACTATGCGGCGAACCCTCCGAGCCGGAGCTGCAAAGCAAACTGGGACGCCAATCGCCTTCCCGCCTGTCATATCGATGACAACCACTTCTTTGCGGTTGAAGGCGTTCTCATAGCGGTCGACATCGGCGACGCCAATTGTTCAGCTGCTAAAGCGTTAAGCTAACCGAAGAGTGACTCCGCGGTCAGATCTCCTGTGTCTATGACCTGTCATCGACAAAATATTTATTCAAGCCTTCTCTTTTTCTGCTCTCACGAATTGACAGTTATTGCCTTCTCTTCTGTCTGCAACGATTTCAATGGGGTTTCAATTTAGAGCTCCGAGCAGAACGTAGCTCTGGCATTCAGTTTTGCAGGCAGGATCGCTCAGCGAATTGCACTCTCGAGTTACTTTGAAATGACAACATCGCTGGCCCTTTCGGCTCTGCCACCTGCACACAATAATCCTCTCCCCCGTCTAGGACTAGATGTCAGATCCGAGCACTGTTGGGGAATAGATATGAGGTTGGAAGGCAGATGGGTTACTGGTCCACACCCCCCGGCTTGGATGCTCGTTTTCCCACGCTGACTGCGCCGTCAGTGTTGTGAAATTGCCCCACGGCTCGGCGGTTGCCCGCCCTGCAACTCGCCTCGATCGAATCCCAAATCAGAACGCAACGGTAAGGGCGGCAGAAGAGTAGTCCACTGACGTATTCTAACAGCGTATATAAGGCGATAAAAGGAATGTCCAAGGTCGAACTGACATCGGACCAATCAGATACTGTCCTTGAGTGGTTAGCAGTTTGACTGGTTGGTAAACCTCCAGTCCTTTCGGGAGCGGGCGTGCCATCAGCATGCGCACAGCGCGTGGGCGGATCGTCAGAACGGCACCTCCTAGCACCCAGTTTGGGGCAATAGCCTATGTGCATATCTGAATGACTATAAAAAGTCCGTGACCTTAGTTCCGCTTGCAATGCTAAAGTCCTTCGTGCTTACGTATTGGGCTGCTTCAATGGCTGTAATCACCTTCGGGCTCCGGCCTTGCTGAAGGACGTTGAGTCTCCCCAGACTGTCTGGTCTGTAGATGTTGCCTTTTCTTCTAAAGCAGTCATGCCTCAGCCGCGTGTTTTGGTGATGCCTTCTCGCAGCGGACTTTTTTTCTAAGTATAGCTCGAGCAGGCCATTTCGTCGTTTTTACAATCGGAAAAGCCGAATTCACTGCGGTGTATAGTCTCTTTCTCTCCAAGCTACACTGTTCTATCCTCCAGAAAAAAAGATCTAAGGAACGTTGTCCACACCATGCCTTGTTGACTGGAGGAAGGGTTGGTTTTGGATTTTGTCTAGAATAGGCACTTTTTGCTCCTTCTCCGGGGCCTTAGGAATTAATCGACGTCATGCGACCAACATAATCGATTTGTATCATTAGTTGCCCTGGAGTAAGATAATCACCCCAATGCTGCGGAAACAGACTGCTTTCCTTTTTTTTCGGAGGTGGTCTTGGCAATTTCCGATACAGGTTCCCGCCGAAGAGTTGCAAATGTTGTCCATGGTCAAAGCCATCCCAGTTGCAAATACCTCCCCCTGTCCGATCATGTATTAAGCTTTGTATGACCCATCTGCGTGTCGGATTGGTCTGTGCAGTCCTCAAACCGACCTGTTCAAAAGTGTGGCGTGCTTGGCTAGTATTAGTTTTTCCCACCCGCTATTCTCTATGGTTGTATTTACATCCGTTTTTCGGGTTAAGCCATTTGCGATTGGAGTGAGTTTTAGGAGCCCCATATGAAACTCAGACAGGCGCCTCGATTGTGACTGCACGAACAGCTCTACCGCAGCAGTTCGAACCGCCCAACAGAAGTAAGTAGTAACGATGCAAGCGGGGGGTGGGGGGAGGTTCTTATACTACACTCTTACCACAACTGACTCTAACGCATAGGCCTTGGATGCTGTGTTCCTTCAGTCGTTATGGTATCCACTTCTACTCCTAAACCCTGTCATGATCTTCCACACTTCAGGTCACTGCTACCGGTCAAACCGAATGCCTCCCACAGCCGCAGGCCTCCGCTCCCGCAGAAGACGCCGAGAGTCATCCTCACGATTCAGCCCAACTTCATGCGGATTGTGGTAGGTCTTTGGAACGCTGTCGTCTAGGAGGAGGAGGGAGGTAGACCCTCTTTTTAACTAATACAAATTTTCGGCAAAAATCTGCCGGACAGGCAAAACTACTTCCTTTCCGATCACCACTTTCCCTCAGAGCCTAGAAACTATCACCTCGAGGAAGTCATCAATTGGCACGAGCGACCAGAGGTTCTCGTTAATTGTATGGCAGGAAAATAGTCAGGTCTTTTTTTCATAAAATGAAGAAAATGTCTGTGAGTGAGTGGAAGGGGCGAGATTGAAGCTTTGCTTGAAAAACCCGCACCAAATCGTTCACTGTATTCGACCTTGGCTGTCTTTCTTGTGTTTGTGCATTTCGACCCGGAATACCTGTTGGCAGGGAGGACAGGTTGAAAGGAGGGGATGAACCGTAGCTGTACGATTCCCTGGCGTTTCGGTGGATTTGTTGATTCTGACCGACTTTGGCACTTATTCTCACACCTGAGGCTCAGGTTGCTCTACGAGCGGCGCTAAAGCATGCGCAGCTGCGCCTAGACTTCTAACTGACTCTTTCTTGCAAACCTCCTGCGATTTCCGCGCTGGCAAGGGGAAGCTTGACGCGTCGGACCGCAACGATGGCTAAAGTGCGGATTCACTATTGCAACCAAGGCCTGCAATCCGAACTCTGTTTCGTGGCAGTTGTTTGTGTCGCAAATTAAGGATATTGTGGAGACCATTCTCAAGAACTAGTAGGGGGGCGCTCACCGATCTTGTTACGGAACTCACTCGTCTCCTTGTGCCTCGGGGCTCTTCCGCTCTCTCACTCTTTCACTCTCTCACTCTCTCTCTCGCACAAATACACACACGCACGCCCTCTCTCTCTTCCACTCACTCCCTCTCACACACTCTCTCTCTTACACTCACTCGCTCGTCCCGTTATGCCTCGGGACTCTCTCTCTCGAACCCCGCCAGCAGCCGCACAACGGCGCGTAATATAGGCAGAGTAACATTACCAACAAAGACAAGAGAGACTAGAATGGCCATTTCTGGATTATTATTATTTTTGTTATTATTGACTGATGATGGTCATTCCAGTCTCCTTTGTCTTTGTCGGTAGTGTTATTCTCAAGGCAGATGTGCTCACTCATGAAATGTTAGCCAAAAATTCTGAACTGCGTTTTCGATTCGAAAGGATAACTTAAGTAGGGTTTTAATATTAGTCATCGTGTGGCCTAATCCCAAGCTGAGTCAGTTACTTCAGGATGCCGACTTTTGAACGAACTTTTTTCTGGCCACCTGCAAGAACTACACTCTGCAAAAAATGACTACTTGTGTAGCATGAATTTTCCCCATTGATTTTCGATGCCCTTATGAATTCAAATATGGCGAACTCTCCCATACGTCAAAAATGTATCTGAACATGTCGAAAGACAATTGAAAAAGTACCGGATACACGTAGCACACCAGCCGGCAACTACCTTACGCACACAGCTTGTGCACCTTAAGGACAGGGTCGGCTACCTCGAAAGAAAAGGTGTCGTCTACAAAATCCCGTGTTCTAGTTGTGATGCCGTTTATTGTGGCCAAACTGGGAAATCTGTCTCAACCCGTATTCATGAGCATCAGTTAGCGGTGAAGACACGCGACCATCTATCCCAGGTGGCCATGCACACACTAGACACTGGGCATAAATTCGCATGGGAGAACACTCGCATTGTTGGCGCCTGCCAAACAAGAAAAGGCCGCGAATTCCTAGAGGCAATGCACTCAGATGAGGCATGCATCAACCGGCATATCGATTTAGATGCCACATACAAAATCGTTAAGGACAGATTCAAACTGAGTCAGCCAATCCCGAGATGATGACCTTAACCAATCATGGACTCCTTTTGCTAGACTCAGGCTAAAAGTTAATTGTTTTTGCACACCCGTTGTCTGAAGACGAGCTGGGGAACCAGCCTCGAAAATTCACAATAAAATTTTACTGTTTCCCAAAGAACTTCACCTTTCTAATTATATTTCTTGGGATGCCTGTTTTTCAATTTATAGGATTATACTGCACGGTAATTAATATAGCAACCCTACTTAAGTAATCTTTCCGAATAGCAAACGCATTTCAGGATTTCAGTCAACATTTCGTGAATTAGTAAATCTACTGTATGTGTTAGAAAGGACTTAGGATCAAACATAGGGATATGGACCCTCCACCGTACTACAGGTGGACTTGCGCTTAAATCCAGAAGTGATCCTATTTCCGTGCCCCAGCTCTAACTCTAGCCCTCCTGGAATTTAGCGCAAGACCATCTATCGCACGGGGAGAGTCTATGTTTCACCTGATACAGAATTGGCAATGAAGTTGTCGAAATTGAGACCACTCAACTCGGCGTATGGCGTTCTCGTGCATATCCGCTCCTCTAAACTTCTCACCTCCTGCGCGACTAGCAGCCCGTTAGCGCAGGTCATTTTCGACGCAGCAGGCACCGCACCCACTACAGTTCATTGCTTTTCTCGAATTCAATTCTCCGCCGACAAACTGCCTCGCTTTTAAGGCAAAAAAACGGAAACCCACTGATGACGAAGAAGACCGACGAACATTGGAAAGTATAAAGGAGGATAAAACATGATCCATGTGACTCGATTACAGCGATATGATTCGAACCCACGATAGCAAGGGCAAGGTTTCAGTGTACAGCTGACGCTCCAACCACCCAAATAAGAAGCTCCACCTAGTAATCATCCGGTGGATCTGGTGAAAATCTTACTTGGGAAGTCAGCTTACTGCGTCAGAGTTTGTGGGCTCCATACGTTGCGGTAGGTTGAACGGCTAATTTGGCCCAAATGGAATTAAATTCAAGGCTTCCTGTGGGACCTCGTAGTTCAGGGGATCAGAGCGCTGGCTGTACTGAAGTCTTGCCGTTGCTGTTATGGTTCGGAATTTCACCAAGGCCGCCGATGTTTTCACAGATGGGCCAACTGTAGTCCAAACCAAATTGCAGTTTTATTTTCGCGAACCGTTTGCACAACTTCTCCAGTCATAAAATGCACTACGCGTCCATCCAGTTTGGCTTTCGAAAGCTTGCCTGTTCGGAATGAAAAGAGTTGATTTCCTGCTAGTGTTGTTCGGACGAGCCCTTATCCGGTCATGTATTACACTAGAATGCCTTCTTTGGGGATTTCCTGCGGAACATATAATTGGTTAATGCAGGTCATCGCTAGTTTAGAACGCTTGAATAATCCGCCAGTCCGATATCCGACTGCTTTCAATCATTTTACCCAGTTGGTCTCGTTGTTTGCTGGCCTCAGGTGGCATTGCGCTGTGTTTCTAGAACTAAACGCCCTTTTTAGTGGAAATAATTAATTTACGTAGTCGAGCCTATCATCGGAAATGCCCATGTTTTCACACATTCGTACTTGGTTCACTATTCGCGCTTCCACCAGTGGGCTCCAGTTTCTCAGCGAACTAGCATACTCTAGTTAAATATGCATTCCGGATGCTGGTTGCTTTTAGTGACTGCGCGTTGTGGGACTCATTTCCAGGAGCCTTTGAATTGGATTGACCCCCCCAGCCGATTGGGAGGGATTGACGAAGACCGACGGGCATTGGAAAGTATAAGGGAGGATAAAAACATGATCCAGGTGACTCGGATACAGAAAACTCGGCAACTGCGGTAGGATTCTAACCCACGACAGCAAGGGTAAGGCTTGAGTGTACAGCCAGCGGTCTAGCCACCTGAACTGCGAGGCCCCACCGGACGACGCGAGTTTAATCAAATTTAGGTCAAGTTACCCGCTCCGCCTACTGCAACGTATGGGATTCACTAAATCTGACGTAGTAAGCTGGCTGCTCAAGCAGTATTTCCTAAGCAAATTAGTCCAGAACCCGGTCAGGTCACTGAATTAATTGGTGTTTAGGTAAATTTAAATAGTTTTCTTGGCCAAATTGTGAAAAACTCGCCGACCTTGGTGGGTTACCGGCTTGGCGGAGGTCGCTGAGTTTTTCACAATTGGGTCAAGTGCACTATTCAAATCTGCCAAAACTCCAATTAAAAATATGATCATCTTTCCGGTTGGTAATGTTTGTTCCGCATCCGTATTCAACAAATCTGACCACCAGACCAAAGTTCAGAGTCCGCTCGATGATAGGGCAATCTTACAAAACTTGTAGAACTAGTTAGGTGGGAAATCTCACCAACCAAGTAAAAAAGATGTCTCGCAAGACTCAGAGGTAGTATGATAAGGCTATTTAACTGCAGCATGAATCCCTGTCCCATGACACTGTAGTGCTGTAACAAACGTTTCGTCAACAGTGCGTGACCGATCTCATAAAATGTTGGCGGAAATTCTAAAATGCGCTTTCGATTAGGTAGGATTACTTAGGTAGCGTTGTAATATTAATCTTCACGCGGCATAATCCCAGGATATTTCGAACTCGCCAGGATGTCGACTTTTGAATGCATCTCTTTTCAACCTCCTACAGAAGGCGCACTTGGCAAAAAATGCTACTTAAGTAGCATGCATTCTCCACATTGGTTTTTGATGGTCTTATAAATTAAAATATATTTTGGAGAAGACACGTCGAAAATACGCTTTCTTTTACTCTTTTGTTAGAGAACCGCGTTTTCTTCACGTTTTATGTCCGGAGAAAGGGTATATATGACGTTTTGAAAAAGTTTCCCAATTCCCGAATAATTTTGAGCCTGATCAGTCATTGCATTAGCGTTTAGCGATTTCAGTCTACAAGGTGCATGTGTTCCGGGTAAGGAAGATCATATACTCCTCTATGTCTTTAAACAGATGCTCTATGGTGTTCATAAAATTTTGCGATGGATGCGGTCTACGTTGTACATTTTATGAGAAGCATTGGCAAACGGTCAGGTACGATGCTGTATGAATGGACATTGCATGGTTTTAAACGATCTCATGATCAGAAACTTTTTAAAACCTAAATATTCACTTTCTTCGGACACAAAATGTGAAGAAAACGTGGCCGTCTACCAAACGAGTAATAGACAGCGTGTTTTTCTACGTGTTTTCTGCAAAATATATTTGAATTTATAAAACCATCAAAAATCAATGTGAAAAATGCGTGCCACTTAAATAGCAATTTTTTGCCAAGTGCGCCTTCAATAGGAGGTCGAAGAGAGGTGAATTCAAAAGCTGACATCTTGGCGAGTTTGAAATATTATCGGATTATGCCTCGTGGAGATCAATATGACAACCCCACCTAAGTAATCCTTTCTAACCGAAAGCGCAATTTAGAATTTCGGCCAACATTTCATGAGATCGGTCACGCACTGTAACTATGCTAAAATACGCCTGTAAATTTAGACCCAACTTTGAATACCAACGCGGTGTGAAGCCGCATCCTTGCGGCTAATTTGTTTCTCCACATCTGACTGGCGACATACCACTCATCTTTAAAATTTGTTAAACATTCTAGCAGCACATGGAAACATGGCTCGCCCGTATTACAGGTGATCTTACGTTAGACTCCAGTAGGGTTTAGGGTCTTTTTTGCGTCAGAATTACAGTGCGTGACCGACCTCATGAAATGGTGGTCGAAATTCTGAAATACGTTTCCAATTAGGACGGATTGCTTGGGTGGAGTTGTAATATTGATTTTTTTGTGCGGCATAATCCTATAGGATTTCGGACTCGCCAGGATGGCGGTTTTTGAATGCACTTCTTTTCGATCTGCAGCAGAAACCACACTCGGCAAAATTGACTGCTTAAGTAGCATGCATTTTTAACATTGATTTTTAATTATCTTATAAACTCAAATATATTTTATAGAAACCGTGCAGAAAATATGCTTTCTTTTACTCGTTTGGTAAAAAAAATCACGTTGTTTTCATGTTTCATATCCGAAGAAAGTGTATATTTAGGTTTTAAAAGGTTTCCCGATTCTCGAATAATGTTGAGCTGGATCTGTCCTCGCGTTAGCTTTTAGCGATTTCAGACTACAAGTTGCATGTTCTCCGAGTAGAGAAAATCATATATTCTTCTATGCTTTTAAGAAGATGCTCTATGGTGTTCATAAAATTTTGCACGGAATGAGGACTATGCTGTACATTCCATGAAGAGCATTAGTAAACGGACATGTGCGATGCTGTGTGAATGGACATTGCATGGTCTTAAAAAGCCCATAATTAGAAACTTTTTAAAACGGAAATATAGTCTTTCTTCAGGTATAAAATGCAAAGATGGGACGAAGTTCTGCCAAAGGCGTAAAAGAAAGCATATTCTTCTGCACAGTTTCCATAAAATGTATTTGAATTTATGGGATCATCGAAGAGAAATGTAAAAAATTCACGCTACTTAAGCAGTCAATTTTTACTGTGTTTGGTCTTTGCAGCATGTCGAAATGAAGTGCATTTAAAAGCCGACATCCTAGCGAGTCCGAAATCCTATAGGACTATTCTGCATGTTAATCAATATTGCAACCCCGCCTAAGTAGTCCTTTCTAATCGAAAGCGCACTTTAGAATTTCGGCCAACATTTCATGAGATCGGTCACGCACTGTAACTATGCTAAGATACGCCTGTAAATTTAGACCCAACTTTGAATACCAATGCGGTGTCAGGACGCATCCTTGCGGCTGATTTGTTTCTTCACATTTGACTGGCGTATATAGGCCGTGGATACTGATCGCTTACATCCAGCGATAGGCCGGTTTACTAACAACACCCCGCGCCTTCTTGTAGATGTTTTGATCGTCACAAGCAACGAGATACGGCACTGCCTCATGAGCTGCCCGCGAATGTGACCTGCGCGCGAGTATGTTTGTGCTGGGGCGGACCTGCGCAGCATCTGTCTGACTTTCTCTCTCACCTCTCTCTCTCTCCTCTCTCTCTCTCTCCTCTCTCTCCCCCTCTCGCTCTCTCCCTCTCTCTCTCCGCACACTAAAGCATGCCTGACTGAGGCCCAGTTCGCGCACAGGTCGCAGCCGGGGCTGTCAGGACAGCGGCGGTCCTCTTTGAGCGCAGTGGACGAATTATCGCTTCAAATGTGTCAATTGCACCCTTACTTTAAAAAGTTTACCTCATTTGTATGTAGAGAATTCATCCGACGATATTCCGACCTCCTATTTTTCGATTCTGCAGTCTGTCACTCTCGGATTTTACGTTCCTCTCAGGAGGATTTTTCCTCTCTTCATCATTGTCCGATGTCCTCAACTCGTCCCTTTCTCGTGTTTTCCTCCCTGCCAGAAGATGGCACAGGTGCTGCCGAAGAGCAAGTGAACGGTGAGGCGGACCATTCTCCCAGTAGTAGTAGTGCCTTAGCACCAGCCCAGATGTGGACGCATCCGGACATCGTCGAATTCAAGGCCCTTCTCTCTCAAGACGCCGAGTCCGTAGTCAATGTCGGCAGTGGGGAGCTGGTCACCGTAAGGCCTGCATCACATTGTTTTCCTTCGCGGTAGAGGCTATTGGCAAAATCTGGCCCATCTTTTTTCACGTTTCTATGCCCACGTGAACTCTACTCCGGTGCAGTTAGTAGTATACTCGTTCAACCTGCCTTAACACGAATCAGCACATCACCCTCAGCATACTTGCCTTTAATAGGAAGTTCACCGATTTCGTCTTAAATTAAACAGCACTAAGTTGATGTACCCACACCATGGTAAGATACCAGACCGTACAAAATATCGGGTGAGGTAGTTTGGACATGTTACGCGTACCGCATCCCATGAGTTACGTGTTGCTACCCCCTTTGCAGTCGTTGAGAAGGGAGGTCAATCCAAAACCTTGGCTACTTCGTCTCCGTCACTCGGAGAACAGAGTGGATCGAGCTCTCTAAATCTGTTATCACAAAACATGACGTGTAGAAAGGTGCAATCCTCGGCAGCATCGAGCATTATCGCAGTCCCACCAAGTACATTCTCTCCTGTTAATCTTCAGGCCCCAGTGCAGGCAGAAGGTCACAACGCCTGGACGCTGCGAGTGACGTGCAAACATGTCGGCATCTCCGAGTGCCACAGCACGGCCAGTTTCTTCCTACAGATTGATCAGTCGGGGGGTCGGTTACGCTGTCCTGGTCCCATGTGTAAGCGCACCGTTGGCATTGACAGTGAAGTAAGCCGAAGGGGGATGCTGAAATCGTTAGTGGGGAAAGTAGTTGAAGTTGAAACGGGAAGGGCAACCTAATGTATGACAAATCTGCCGCGAGATTGAAGGAAGCCCAGAATGCCCGCAAAAGACCTGGCTGACAGGAAACGGGGACAGCAGTACACCAAACCTAACGGTAACCTCGGCCGTAACCTCAAAAGTAAACCTAATCCTTAAAGTGATTATAAACCTAACGCTAACCCTAAACCCACCACTAACCCCGACCCAAATCCTAACCCTCAACTTGACCGTAACCCAAGTCCCAATCTTAACCGTAGCCCTACCCTAACACTAACCCTAACTCCTAACTTAACAATAAACGTAAACTTATGCCGCAATCTAAACCCTAACTCTGACCGGAACCCTTAAACTTGTTACACACCCTAACCCTAAACTCAATTCTCAGCCTGACACTAACACAAACCCTAAAACTAACCCTACCTCTAGACCGAAGCACCAGGTTACCCTATTCCGTTTTAGCTTTGGCTACTTTCCCACTAACGATTTCAGCATCCTCCTTCGGCTTACTTTACTTGCAATGCCCACATTACACTTACACTTGGGACCAGGGCAGCGTGACCGACGCCTATCATACATGCTTGAATGGCAGATGACAGGGTTGAACACGAGAATAGGGACCTCCCCATACGCCAGGTGAACTTACACTAAATTCTGTGGCATACCTACTCCCCAATACTAACCCTCATAGCCCTGCCCCCTGGAATTCAGCATAGGGAGTCCATGTTCTCACGCCCTACCAATGGAAATAATGAATTTCAGTTGGCACTGTTGTGGAATATTCCCGGGATCTAGTCAAAAGATTTGATATCAGGAGCGTATTCTACCGTGATCTAGAAGACTGTGCACTTGCTTTACTTGTCAAGTGGTTCGTACCACGGACTCACACTCGCCCAATATCCACTTTATTCAGAAGAAGACAAATTAGGACGCCTGACTAGGGACGGCGCCATCCTCCAAAAAGTATCCCGGATCACAATGAGAAGCAGGCGTACTGGGACTTTGTTTATATAACTAATATTGTCCTAGCGCGTACCACCTCCTCCCACTTAAAGGAAGCTTCTTTGGTACTCATAACTTCTATGGTTAGGACGGAGCCACGTAATCTCACTATGGGAGCCTCATTGACATATACACTCTCTTCTGAATGAAGCCGAAATTTCGAGTTCCAGGTGTATGCATAAGTGAAGAAGAAGAGGGTTCGAGCACCGGAGCATTTTGTTTATTGTCCTGAGTCCAAAAGCTCAGGACAATAAACAAAATGTTCCGGTACTCGAGCCCTCTTCTTCTTCACACGCTCTTCTGTTCAAGGAAAGTTAGATCATCTCTTGAAAAAATCGGTCTTGTCGTCGGACCAGTGCCCTTCAGGACTCTGCTTGGGGAAGAGAGTCATTCAATGGCGTCTGCTTCCGTGCTTTCAGGGATAATTGTATCTATGGCAACGGAAGGGCCATATTTCTTGAGGCTTATCCGACTTTTTGCAGCTCAATAAACACTTAACTAAGCACAAACCCATGCGCTATACACGCTCACGGTTCCACGGTCTCGCCTCAAGTCAGTAGTCTTCCACAGAGGATCGCATATTTGTCCCCAACGGCATGGGCAAACACCGATCAAGTTGGCTTCTTGGATCAAATTAGCCCTGCCCATAAGAGCATGTGACTGTCCACCAGGTGGTAAGGTTTTCGTATGATCAATTTAAGAATGCCGGACCTTAAGAGTTGCAAGCGTCTGCTATGTCAGCATCAGCAGACCATGGTCCGCGCAGCCTGATATGCGTTGGCAGTTCTCCGACACCTGGTTCCCTGCTGGTAGATGCGCTTGCCCTCCCGCTGGTTATACAGGTGGTGGCATGGCTGCTCAGTCCTTATCGTCCTTCTGATCCGTTGTGGTGCTGTTGTTGGGTAAAAGCCTGGTCAAGTGTTTGTTGTGGACTAGGGTGTAGTGGCACGCCTAGACGAAGGTCCGGCCGTGCCAGACACCTGCGCCCTCCCTCACCTCCGGCCTTCTTAACTATGTCTTGACACTGGGTTCGGCCAAAGGCGGAGGGCAGAGTGCGTCAGATGTTGTGCAAATTCACTCTCACTATAAACTAATTCATTTCCAAGTCACCGTGCCTGCCCTCACCTTGCTGTGGAGCGCACGGCGGACATCGTCGGCTGCGACGATCTGACTGTCGTCAATTTAACAATGCCTAGGACAGGTGCCGTCCCCGTCCTTTTTTGGTCAACCACCGCTGTTTCTTGCATAATCACTTGGTCGTCTACCAGCGGAGGGCTGGGTTTGCCTTGAAGTGTTTATCCCAGTGTGAAATTTAGCAGATCAGTATGGATTTTGAGGTCTGCTTCGTTATGTTCAAGTCACCCCCACGCCATAGCCGGAGGCTTTACGCCACTTTAGTCGACTGTATTTCCTTTCGCCTCAGCTCAGTCTGTCTGCGCCGCTTCAGGCTACGAGAGGGAGGAGCGAGGCTGATTGTGCGTGACCTTCCGCCACTGTAAATTTGACGCGGCGCCCTAGATCTCGTGACTTCGAAGGTCGCCAACCGACGGATTACACCATCTGGAGAGCCAGGCGGCCGTGGCTTTATAAATAACTGTCATCAGTGTGGTGTCCCGGCTAGTGTTTGGTTCGTCTCGAATGAGAGAGAGACCAGCCCCTGTCTGACACACGCCGACCATGGCTCTATGCACCCACGAGCATCCCTAGTCGCCTTGGGCCAGTCTTGCTATCGGGTCATGAGGAGACGAGGCTAGAGGTGCCAGTTTCCCTCAAAGTGCACACCGCTGTCTCCTGGACACCACAATGTCCGGGAGCTTGCGCTACTCCGACAGAACGCTTTTGTCAGAAATAGTTATAAGTGCTGTTTGCAGTGACTGCCCTTTCCCCCTTTTTTGCAGATTCGTGTTCCTGTTGTGTCCTCAGGCAACTGTATTGTCTGGGAGTTTGCTACAGATAACTACGACATTGGATTTGGTCTCTTTTTCGAGTGGGTAAGGCCTTCCAGCTCGGAGTCCGTCGATGAGGCGTCGTGGAAGATTATCGAGGGCTCCTCCCAGCCGCTCGACACATCCTGTAAGCGACTATTTGATCGTTCCGCTGCTGGTTTTTAAAGGTCTGTTGCTGTTCTCTCCCTCTTCATTGTTAGTCTGAATTAACATCTCTTCTATCCGGACAGCACCTTCGCCTGACTCGCTAGGCCGGTCGCAAGCCCCGTGCAAAGTTGTCGTCGAGGAAATCATCCCCATCTATCGCCGATCTAGCAATGCCGAGGTGTACTGTGGATCCCATGCTTATCCTGGCAACGGAACATACTTGCTAAAATTTGACAACACCTACTCTCTCTGGCGGTCCAAGATGCTCTACTATCGCGTCTACTCCACCAAGTGACGCAGTTCGACCGCGACCTGCTTCCTAAAACCCCCTTAGTTGTGGCCCACAACTCTATCTCCCCTTTATCTCATTAACGGTTTGCTGTTTCCACCAACATTATGACCGATTGCATGTACAAATAGCACAATGCCAAGTGTGCTTACCGCCGCGCTGTGCGACTGGGTCTTCTGTGATACTTTCCATGCGGTGGGAAACAATGCTGTCTCTGATTTTTTCCCTTGACCTCGTACTGCTCTTCACGGTCCTATGTTTCTCAGAAATAACACCTATTTGCAGAAAGTAAAGCCTTGTTTCGTTAATGGACTCGTTCCCTCTGCTTCGTGCGTCTTAGTCTGGCGGAAGACATGAGTACACAGAAACTGACACAGGCGACTGGGAGCCCATATGCGTTACAGGAATGAGAATTCTGCAGGACCACCAAATCGACCGTTCGATTTATGAAACGGTAGTGGCGTCTTTGAGCAGTTGAAGATTGTCTCTGCTAAGGAGTTCCTCCAACGCTCTTTGCGCCAAACTTGTTTACTCCTTGAGCCTACCTCAGCTACTGTTGAGCGACTGTGCGTCCTGGGCAGTTTTGTCAGGCTTCCAGCTGATGACCAGGGCTTGCTGGTTCTCCAAGTTTGAAGGCCCGTTCCGTGTGCCCCACGGCCGGTGTGCGGACTCAATCGAACCTGCGTTTTTCGCACGCTTAACTAAGTGGCCGGAATGTCATATTTTCAGGCAGACAGCCCGAAAATCAAGGAATTTGTGGCGGAGTAAGCGGGGCCTGTAGACCTGCTTTACTACAACACTCACAGTAAAGACGCGGTCTCGTGGTGGCAGGGTACCTCAGCTGCGAACTCGGCATCGCCCAGGACTTACCGACTATGGTAGCCCAGAGTAGTCGGTGGTTCGTGTGTACAAATCTGTTAGCAAGTAAACAAAGCGAACTGAGATCGGGAAGACTGAATGGCAGTGGCGTGTGGAAGGCTATGAACCCGTAGACATGGCGGCTGTCGTAAAAGGCCGTAGTTATGCTTTGGGACATGGTTGCATCTCCGCCCGAGGCGGAAAATGTCCCATCCCCGACCCTCACGAGCTTGAAATTCTTCATACGGGGTCGACCTCTCCCCACAATTGTTGTTGAGCTCCGTCATCACTCGTATTCTAATTAATGGCTGGACTTTACATCCGGAGCAAGGTGTGCTATCCGAGACGCTGTAAACATTCCGCGAAGACCGGCAAACCACTGACGACTATCATCGTCCCTGACCTCCTAGGTCGTACATTAGGGCGTCATTGTGGGCACAGGTCACCGACGAGACAACTGACCCATTGACAACTGACTATTTGGTCTTTACTGACTTACCCTAGCTGCCGGTAGTCGCGCAGTTGCTGCCTGTTGGTTTAGTCCGTAGACTGGCCCCGAGTCGCTTGTAATTTCAGTAGTACAACAAAAACTGAATTGAGAATTATCTCGCGGCTTGTGGCTGTCGACTGTCAAACATAAATTCATCAGACAAGGAAGCCGATGCGGCATCAAGCCGCGCAGCCACTACGCAGTCCAAATGCCGTACGTTTAGATGACTGACAAACCAAGTGGGTTGTCGTCAGCACTTTCGAGCACGCGATGTGGCCACCAAAAAAGGAGGCAACAGACCCAAAGGGAGGGATGATCGGTCTAGGGCTGACTAATTCGAAAATCCACTTGAATCTCTGTCCGCTTTGGCGTCTAGCGGCCGACCAGCTCTTCGAAAATTAATTTCTCCTAGCGAGCCTTTCTTTGCATAAATTGAAGGTGGTCATCACAGTTCACAACACACAAGAAGAATTGACATATCTGCAATAGCCTTAGTGTTTACCTCTCCCCCTCCATTTAGAAAACTTTCTGCCATTTACTAATGTTCTCACATGGTACATCCTTCGTCATAAAGGCAGGTCTCAGCTGAACAAGGCCAGACTGGGATACTTCATTGCCTGTCCAAGCAAATAACGCAAAGTCAGTTATAATTCGCCCGGACAGTATCCAGATAAAAACAAATACGACACATCAGCTTCCCCCAACGGCGCCCGGCTACCGGAGCTCCAAATGACTAAACCTTCGATACCAGATTTCGCAACGAAGGGGTCGGCTATTTGAGGAAAGTGGAGGGACTGTACATCATGGGGTGGATACAAAAAATCAAGTGTCCGCTTTCTGAAATTCGTAGTCGGGGAGCTTTTTTTTCAGAGCAGCGACACGATTGGCGAAACTTGACATTCGTCGACGGGCCGCAGCTACAGTTTTGCCACACGCTGCTTTGGACGAACTCTTGACTGCATCTGTCAGGCGGCGGCGCTTCTCCTTCGTGGCATTGGTAACTTGCCGTGGCTCCCTTATGAAGACACGGGGATCATAGTTCTTGGTAATTTCACCTAGAAAAAAATAAAATGACTCGTGTGGGTACAAAGAGGGAGTATTCGAGAATACAAGTAGAACCGCCTTAGTCCCGAAAGCTTTTAAACACCCTGATCTGAACACCTAGTGCAGGAGGACGAAACGGCTATCATTAAACAGACATACCTGTACAAAGCGATAACTTGGGTTGGTTAACGACAACGGGACAATGCAGTGTTATAAAGGCTTTCGAGACAGTAGTTGGCAGTGGTGATATGTCTTGGCCAGATGCCAACAGTGATCGCTGCGGACGATTGTCAAAACGACACTTATTTTGCAATACTCATATCACTGTCTGTCAACTGAAACAAGGACTTAGGTAGCATCCCACACTTCGAGGACATGGCACATTTCTTTTGGCTTAAGAGAGTGCCCGATTCAAGAGGGATTAACTGGGTGTTTCCTGGTTTGCATCACGCTCTCAACAGCTCAATGTCGAAGGACAAATTAAAGTACCTAACACCTACTCCGTAGATTTTGTTGTCCCGAGGGTGGGTGGTCTTGTCGCCGCATTAGACAGAACGCCAATATTCAAACGCGGCACAACAATAAGTCATTCGTCTCTGTGGCTGATAATATGCGCTCAAAGCACTGATGCCTTACCGAAGGTAATGGCACCTGACAATCCAGGGTTGTAGGGGATGAACTGTGAACGAAGCATCGTGTAAATAGGGGGTGAGTCGGACGGCGTCAAATACTGGAGATGTGGTGGGAAGTGATCGATTCAGATGACTGCGTAAGGCACAATGCCCCCGGGGGTGGATTCATGCATGAAGTAATTCCAAATTCGGATACCGAAAACTTGCTGCCAGCGGGACCACGATCATCCAACTTCTATTTCGGGCGAAAATATTGGTTTCACTAATTCGTGATGGGTTGCAATTTGGAGACCGATAAACGACTTTCTGCGACAGCCCAGACAAACATGAATAGAGTGAGTTCGCGAGCTCTATAAAACTTTCATCTTTGATAAAGTAATCTGGACAAACAAGTGTATGTGCCCGATTTTTGTGCTTAATACAGCTTTCATTCAAGCTGGTGCTCTTTGAGTGTAAAATGAGCGTTGGCAACCCGAAATGGCATCGCGTCGGGGAAACTCGGCGCCATATGTGGCTCATAAAGAAGGCAGACCGCTCGCATAAAAGGCGGGAGCATGTTCCTGGACGAATAAGGCCGACCTACACACTAAACCATAACGGATAAAAATAGAAAGGCGCCGTAGCAAAATGACTGTGCCCCTAGGCCTCCATATGGAGGAAACATGTTTCGCACATGACGCCACTGTCTGATCAGGGTCGCTCGGAGAAACTTCCGATTGTTGACTTGGGATCTACAAAGATTTTATGGAGGTCAGTCGGGACTGCACCTTCCCGATTTTAAAAAATTAATGGAGGCATTAAGTTCGAAGGAACCTTTGACGAGTAATCGGTTCCAACATTAGTCAAGACCATTCTTACAAAAAGGATAAAATACTACTTGGGACAGATTGACCAAAGCAAGTTGCACAATGTCTACATATGGTGGCAGCAGGCGAAAATGGAGACGTCGTGAAAGAAGGCAATGAAGATTCCGCGACAAAAAGACGCATAAAACTGTAATTGCAGGTTCGAGACATGGTATTGAGAGAATTGGTAAAACTCACATTTCATTATCCTGTTAAAGTTCAGGACGTTGTGAACGGTTGTCGCTATTATGGGGGCGGCTTCCTTGTCTACCAAGATTAACGCAAGTCCTTTCGGTCTTAGACTCTAATTACAATTATTGATAAGCCACATGACTACTTTTATTGATCTAGGAACGTAGACGCCATGTACAGGGCCAAACTGTCCAAAATATTTCCTTAATTCCTTTTCCTCAAAGTGCTTGGGAAGGTGAGATACTCTCAGGCATGCAACTCTCGGTGGCCGACCCCTTGCAGGCCTATTCATGTCGTATTTCGTAATCCCGCCCTTTTCCGGTGCAAGAATAAAGAATCCAAGGTTCAGCACAAACAGATCCTTTTGTTCATTTTAGCTTATTGTAGGAAATTGGCGTGACATAGAATAACCGTGTGTTTACAACACTTCAAAATGAGCCATAAAATATGAATAATCGAACACGAGTTTAATGGGATGACTTCAATCTGTCATCGCTCCGGCACATTTTACACCATATACGTGTCAAAATTCCTTTTAGAGCTTCCTATCGATGGTGGCATTACAGTATAGACAGAAAAGGTATCCAGTTATCTAACGACCCTAAAGGGAAGGAAAAATTACTTCACACCCTGCCCTGGCGGCTGAACGCACAGTTTTAATAGGCAAAATTAGAAGTCGGTAACGGTAGATAAGCCAAAAAAAATCGTCGAGGATGCGGCTACAGCGCAATCACTTTAGAACGCAGAATGAATATAAGCGGTCTCCGCGCAATTACCTATGACGTAGAGGAAGGAGTGGTAGGTTTGATATACGAGTTGCGTAAGACAACAAACTTTGTAAGGACGCAAATTTTCGAATTTTCCTTTCGCATTTTCTTGTACACCTTCATTTTTTCGTACATTTGTTATGCTATTGTTAATACACGCAACAACCAACTCGCCTGGAGGGGACGCATATTCCGTGTTCGCATATTGCCTGGTTTTAGTGCTTTATTGATTACGTCTAAGTAAATTGCAACAATAAGTTTCTGTTTCTGGATCGCATCTCGTCGAACGTGAATATATCCGAGAAACAAGTTCTCCTAATCGGCTTCAGTTGAGAACTTCCTGGACTTTACCCAGAACGCCCCTTACTCAACGACGGTAACCTGATATTGGAGAAAAGTTGGTTTTTGTAGTCTTCACAACATTTTAGCATTGCCGTTCCTCCACAGTTTTCCTGTCGCTACTTAGAGTTCAGTCGTTTCTCATATATTTTACTTCTTTTGGTTTTAATTGTTGTTTATAATACAAAATTGGCGATCCCATTATTTTGCACGCTATTCTACTTCATATGGCCGATAAAGAGTCCAACGCAGACTCCCTAGACGTCGGTACCTTCTTCTTCAAATTGCCCCCATTTGCACTGAACAACTCATCCATATGGCTTGGCAAATGGAAGTCGTTTTCTCGGCACGTCTGATCAGTAGTGATCATTCACGTTCTTCATGCGTAACTCAATCCCTTCATTCCGCTGTCGTTTTTGACGTCGAGTATTTCCTTGAACCAATTTCTGCTGATTACCTTTAAACTCTGTTGAAGGACACTACAATCCAGCGTGTGACAAATCAGCCAATCGGATTCCGTGACAACTGTCGACCCAAGTCCAATTCGGAGACCTAACGCCTTTGCAAGCGATGGACTCGTGGTTTCCCTTTTTATCGGTCATCATATGAACGACAGGATTTTCCGGAAGATCTGGATTGATAAGCTATGAGTTCCCATGCAGCAGATTTTGCCCATGCTCGGCACGAGCATCCTACCAGAGAAATTGTCAATCACGCAGATCGGATCAAGGAATGCTGCCATAATATAAATAAATAATAATAATTTTTATTAAAGACCCGTCGGGGTACCATCAAAGCAAGTATAACTAAATTTGCATGCGAATTTTAGACGAGGTAAGCAATATCTGCACAAAATGCAATTAATAGTTTCGGAATTAGTAGTCCGTTGAGAAAAATGATTTGACAGAGGGGAAAAAAAACTCCACTTAAAAATTTAAGAATGATTGGTCAGTATGTTGGTCAGGATATTTTAAGGGTAATAGGTAATGCCTTTGAAAAGCCTACTGTCAACGGTGCATGCAATATCAAACTTTAAATAAACATAGCACTAAAATGTTGTCAGTAATATATACACTTTGAAGAATATTCTCCGTTGAAAATGCAGGACCGAAACTCAAGAACACCCGCTTGTAGATGATATCGGTAAAATGAAATGACAATCATCCGCATTAGCGGTAGGTGTATGCAAGGCGTTGGGTTGGCACCACAGAGCTGTTCTGTCCAGACAAGCGGTATTATCCAAGCAAATATACATCTAGTCTTTGCTTGAACGTCTCCGTGGTATCCGCTACTATTACGTCCTCGGGAAGCCCGTTCCAGGCACCGACGACTCGCTTTGAAAAACAGTATCTTCGAGCGTCCGGGCGGCATCGGGATCCTCTAAGTTTAAGAGAGTTCCCACGCAGGTTTGTTGTTGTGGCCAGGGTGAAGAAATCGTCCAGGTGTAGGACACAGTCCCGGTTCCTCAATATCTGATACACCTGTATGAGATCTCCTCGAACCTGCCTGTATTCAAGAGGAAAGAGTTTAAGTTCATTAAGTCGGCAGTTGTAAGGTAAAATCCTGAGCCCTTTCACAATTTTTGTCGCTCTCTTCTGAACTCTTTCTAGCAACTTAAAGTCTTTTTTAGCCACGGGCACCACGCTTGGATTCCATATCCCAGACGAACTAATGAACGCTCCGTATACTTTTCTAAATAACTCTTTGTCTATGTCTATGGAAGTTCGTTTAATGGCAAAGGGAAATCTGGTTGCCCTTTTGGTTGCTCTAACGCACTGAGAGGAAGGCTTAAGGGTTGATAAAATTTTGATCCCAAGATCTTTTTGTTCGGTTACATTTGAAAGGTACCTTCCACCAAGTTGGTAATAGTGATCCTCTCCGTCGCCTCTTCCAGCCGTTTTGAGTCGCAGCGCGACGCACTTCTCAAGGTTAAACTTTAGCAGCCTTTTGTCAGACCATTCGCATAGGCGGTTCAGTCCTTCTTGCAGGGCCCATTCATCCTGTTCCCCGTTGATCTCTCGCCATAACTTGATGTCATCGGCAAACATGACTTCATTGTAGTCCAGTCCATTCATACAGTCGTTGACATAAATTAAAAACAGTATTGGTCCGAGTACAGAGCCCTGGGGAACTCCACTCACAATTGGCACTGGCGTTGACTTCGCACTACCAATAAACACAGATTGTGATCGACCAGTCAGGAAGTCCTTTACCCAGTTTAATAGGTTTCCCCTTATCCCTGACTCTCGGACCTTGTAAAGTAACCGGTTGTGTGGAACACTATCAAAGGCTTTCGTGAAATCGATGTAAACGATATCGACCATTGTTCCTTCGTCTAACGAATGAGACCACTGTTCCGCTGAATAGAATATATTAGTTAGGCAGGAGTAATTTCGTCGAAAGCCATGTTGGAAACTAGCAATGAGATTATTTTTTTCAAGGAACTTCATTATGTATTTTTTGACTATTCTCTCCATGACTTTGCAACAAATGAACGTTAGGCTCACCGGCCGATACTTGTTTGTACTTGTTCTAGATCCCCCCTTGTGAATGGGGTATATGTTCGCCACTTTTCAGTCAGAGGAGAGAATGCCTCGGTCGAAGGACAACCTGAAGATGTGCAAAGGCGGTCTGGCGAGTTTGCAAGCGATCTCCTTTAGAACTTTTGCGGGAATTTGCTCTAGACCAGGATACTTACCCTCCTTAAGCACTAGAAGTTCCTTCCTTACATCTTCTTCCGTGAAGTCGATGTTTTTTATTAATTCGTCGGTTGTCCCAGCAGGCACTCCAGCCTCGTCACGGTCCGTTTCTTCGGCGAAAACAGATACAAAAACTGGCTTATATGTTCTGCCTTAGCGTCATTTTTGATGATATCCTCATGGTTTTCTCCTTCCAACACTAAGACCGTCTCCTTGTTCTTTGACCTAATGTTGATGTAACTGAAGAGCACTTTTGGTTTATCGACGGCCCGTTCCATAACTCGCGTCCCATACTCCTTCCGCGACCTGCGGATAGCCGACCTTACCTCGTTTCGCTTTCGACGAAACTATTCGTAATGAGATGGGTGTTTTGTTGTTGCATACCTTCTCCATAGTTTGTTCTTTCGGTTTACTTCTTTCTTTATATCGCGCGTTATCCAGACAGGACGAATACTCTTTTTGGCTCTCTTTGTCGGACAGTTTCGATGCATAATATCGGTTGCAACTTCTTTGAGAGTGTTCCAATCAACATCTGGGTATCCGGAAAGAACCTCATTCTTGTCCACTGCCGATAATTCCCTTCTCATGGCGACAAAATCTCCTCGCCAGAAATTCAGCCGAGGTTCAGCCATATTCACTTGTTGGCTGCATAGGCGGTATTCCCAAAACAGCATGACATGGCCACTCTTACCGAGCGGTGTTATGGACCTAAGTTCGCCCGGGCTAATTGGGTCTTTTGTAAGGACAAGGTCCAGACAATTTGCTCTTTGATCCTCTTTGATCCTGGTTGGGAACGTGACGTTTTGCACCAGAAAGAGATTAGACGTTAGCTTCAAGAGCCTGAATCAAAGGAATTTCGCGAACCAGTCACTAATAACTTGTTCCAGTCGACCATTGGTTCTTTGATGTCTCCGGTTATCAGTACCTCTTGGTTTTGTGACACCTCTTTAATTAACACAAACATCGCCTCGTCAACCCCAGCAATTTGATCGGGCGGCCTGTATACGGTCAGGAAATTCAGATTAGGTGAGCCACGCATCCTCAGTTTTCACAACATTGCTTCACAGTCTCGGGAGTAATCGGTTTTGTGTTCCGACGCGATGATTCCTCTCTTGACCTAGACTGCTATTCCTTCTCCTTTTTGTGCAGTCTGTCCCGGCGATGAAGTTGGTATCCATCGAGTGTAATTTCGGCATTCAAGACTTCGGTTTGGAACCAAGTCTCTGTGATAGAAATGGCATCCGGCAGTGTATCCGTTATCCACACTTTCAGCTCATCTATCTTCTGGAACAAACTCTGAGCATTTGCATAAAGTGAGTGGATCTTAGCCCGGGCAGATTCCCGAACGATTTTTGAGTAAAATTTGCCAGATATTTTGTGCGAGTTTTCAGGTCTATCGTCCCCTTCGGAGTCTACTGATGTTTGGTTGAACTGGATGTCAGTGTGTTGGCCGTCGTTTTTTCTAGTTAATTTGGCAGAAAGGAGCATTCTTTCCTTAGTATCTGGTTCTTCACTATGCTCAGTGTTATTGCTTGTCACCAGAGGAATGAGCTCCGGACTTTTACGAATTTCACATTTAATGTTCTTAGGTTCCTCTCGTCGGAATTGTATCTTCTGAGGAGTTCGTCCTTGAGTTCCCTCCATTTCTCCCGTTCGGCCGGTGAGAAATCCCACTGAAAAAAATTGTTGGTTAGGCATCTCGCAGTGCTGGCTTCCTGTCCAGCAGCAGTAGGACTTGTTCCTCACTTTCGAGAATAACTTTTAATGGTCTATGATGGCCCGAGGTATTGGTAGAATAATTCTATATCGTGGTTTATTCCGTTCTTCGGGATATTTGAAGAAGACTCAGACATACCCTTTACGATGAGGCATTTATTGCGATCAATAGGGGGCTGTCGTTTATTTTTATTCGCATAGTCTACATAGCGAAAATTTTTGTTGACATCAATGTTCACTTCAGAGACAGTTGTCATGGTATAGCTATCACAGGGTTCCTCGTTTATCGAGGCTTCTTGGTCATGTGGTACCTCTTTTGGCAGTGAGGCATTTATTTGCATTCTGTATGGACTCTGCTCTCTCCTGCTGACGCTCTGACATACTTGGTCTTTTCGGGATGCTTTGAGACGTCTCCAGATTTTTTGAGATGCCCTTCGGTTATTTTTCCCTCGCACATGTGACAGGGTCTCGGTTGTGATTGGGTCCGTAGACGGGCTGTCTTCTTTTTCAGGGGCTAATTCAGGTACTGAAGTCGTATTGGCCGTTATTCTGGTCAGGCTCGACACAGTCCTGTGGCGGATTTTTTGCCCAATGTCTGGAGGACTCTGAATCGACTACCATTATTAAGTCGATAAACTTGAAACGTTTTTCACGGTATGGAAACGATTTTAAGCGAGACCAACGGTAGGAAGTAAATATCAAACGACTCAGCCTTTCTTTTATTTGGGGAATATCGCGGTGCGGTTGTCAGAGATGCGGTCGGAAGGAGATAGGTTTTCCGGACGAAATTCCCGTTGCAATTCTGTGAGAATCGAGGTATTGCTATGAAAAATCGACTTGTTAAATCCGACGGGCCGTCAGGGTGTCCAGCACTCAGGAGACTCGAAAACGTTAAATTCCTCGTAGGTCGAAAAATTCATACCGAATTCAAAAGACGCGGACCTGTCCGTGTGGATTGGATCTATTGGATTAATTTTACAGGAGAAGAAAAACCCTCGATAAAAAATAATAACAGAAGAATGCGGACAGTACTGGCCTGCATGTGGCGGTCTATAACGGATTATAATCGGACATCATCAGGTCAGAAATGAATGTCAGTTTTGACTAAAATCGGCCATCGTCTGGGCAGAAATAAATGTCATCCTTAGGGGTACTTATGCGGGTTGGACAGGACTGGAATGCATGTGGTATTGTATACGCGATTCAGAAGTGACATCGTCAGGGCAGGATTGATACGCCAGGTGAGACTATTCGCGTCAAAGATGCCAGACAAGAAGAACCCAGACACGATCGGCCACAGTACGCTTCGAGCCCAGCCGAAGAGTTGGGAAGTGAGGTAACACCAAACTACTAGTATACGGCGAATACTGAGGGTTCCGTCGTGAGCGTCGACAGACCGCATGAGGTCGAAATGGGGAAGATGACATCAAGAACCGTGAAAATCTTCGCTGCACATGGCATTGTATAACGGATTTCATGAAGGCGTAAGTAGGCAGGTCAGGCAGGACTGGACTGTATGTGACCTTTAATAAGGCAAATAAGTGGCAAATTTAAAACCAGTCTCGAGGCGATAGGAACCCAGATGCGATCGGTTACATTCGTCAGAGTGCATCCGTGGAGGGGCAAGGGAGACGCGACCAGACTACTAGTAAATGACGAATACAGAAGGTTTCGCCAAGAGCGTCGATGGCGCGCATTCTGTGAGGGCACGATGCATGAACTGAAAAACTGGAAATATTACCATTTCTGGTGAGGGATCCTAGGAAGCGATACGACTCACAAAATAAGGAAATATGACAAGATGCGAAAAGTTAACTGTGGCGTCCTAAATTCCCGGTGGCCCTTTCTCAGTGTCATTGAGAAATTTGTCCGGGAAGGATGAGGAAAATATAAGTTTCGAGTCAGTATTCAGATAAATGCGTAGCCTCCTCTTAAAAGTGTGTAGATTATCTGAAGATCTTATATTTATTGGAAGGTTATTCCAAAGAAAAGTATACCTGGAAGCGAAAAACAGAGAACGCCTACAGGTGGAGGAAGCTGGAGAAGGTGTAATCAAGGAACAGTTACGAAAATTTTATGGGCGACTACTAGAGGTAAGGGCTGAAATCCGAGGAAGATTTTAACTATTATTAATGCGAAAGAGGAGACAGAAGCCCGCTTCTAGTCTTCGAACCCATAAAAATTTTAGGTTAATTAGCTGGCATCTATCTGAGTAGGAGATATTTCGATGTTCCCTGCCTAAAAGCTTTCTAGTAAAACGTCTTTGGACATTTTCAATTTTTAAACGACTAGCTTCATTCATCAAACCAAAGAATGGCAACAATACTTGAGAATGGGAAGTAAAAACATACGATAGAGCCTTAATTTAATTTCAGGAAGATAGAAATTGTAAGAAATAAAGCCACAAATTTGGGCAGCTTTGGCTATAATTCTATCAGCGGGTGGCGAGAGATCAAGCTTACTAGTGTAGCTTAAACTTAAATTCTTAATGGTGGTACATTCAGCCATAGGTGTTCCTTGAAAGACCACTGCTTGGGGTAGCTTTTCAAGTTCAAAACACATTTAGCGACATTTAGACGGAGAGAATTCCATTAACCATCTTGAGCTCCATGCTGAAAGAGCAAGTAAACGGACATGGATTTGCTCCAGGCAATGAAGGC